AAATAAATAAACCATTTCACTGGGAAGTAGGCTGAATTGAGGTCAATGGAGCCTACTCCCTAGCAAGTCCACCCAGGACTGAAGCCACAATGGAGTGTTTTGGAATATATCAGATTAATTCCACAGGCTACAGTGGGAATAGAAGACCTTCAATCCATGCACTCCAAATTTCACTGGGCTGTAGTATGTGCTTCAAAGTGCTAAAATGAATAAAATTTCACCTGGACTCAGTTAATAAAAGGACTGGGAGAAATAGGTTTAGACCCCCCGCCTTTTAAAACAATAACACTGCACACTAGTAACTTTGGGAAGGTCACTGTCTAAGCCTCGATTCTTTATCTTCAGAATGAAAAACAACAACAACCTGCTATCTGTCCAATGAAAACAGAGGGTGGAAATCTAAGACAACCGAAAGGCCTCAGTATTTATAGAAGCATAGAATTGTAGTGTTGGAAACATCTCGTTTCATATAGCGACTAATCAGTTGCCTTGAAGCAGCCCACGAAAAGTCAAGAGTGGAAGGAGTACATAATACTTGCTCGCCAAAGGATGAACCAATGTTGAGAGCTCCCTTCCTTTTCCTTACAAGAACAATTCTATCAGAGATGCCTGTGGGAGAGGATGGAGCTAGTTTCCCATTGTCAACCTGTCTGCCAGAAACTGTGAACCCAATTTAGGCCACATTGCAGAGAGGAGCCATCTTGTTATGCATTTGATTTATGTCCCGCTGCATCCCATGGCTCAGTTTGGCCGACAGCCATTTTTCTAAATGTTAATAGTTCTGTCTCTATAGGCTCACATATGGAATCAAATGGGTTTGATGATGAAAGTGCTCAAATAAATGGGTAGATGAATGGTAGGGGTCGAGGGGCGAGACAACTGAGTGGTACTAGTGGGTGCAAACCTGCTCCCCCCTCCATGCAGTTGTATGTCTCGTGGAATTCACGCTCAAAGAGACATTATGCCACAATATTTGAGATTATAAAAAGGAACTGATTTCAAAAGTGTTTGATAAGGGATAGAATCAATTCCAGGCCTTATCAGTGAGATAAATGTTAGTTTTAGAGGGTATCTTGTGAGTAAATGTTGGGAAATTAATGATTTTGCCTAAAAGAGAAAAAGCAATGTATATTGGAAAGCTGCCAGAAAGAGAGGGGTTAGTGAAATTGGCCTCCACTGGGGGTGCAGGCGCAAAAATCTGCATGATGCATATGCTGCTGCCGTGATGAGATCAAACATGGGAGAAACTTCCCGTCCTTCTCACACCAAGTGTGAATTTATTTCGCTCTTCCAACCTTGCCCTTACTCCAGACACTTGGGTTGTGTGAAATGTACTGATCTGTAATGTAGCTACTGAGGTAAAGTCAATTTTTTTCTGGGGGCGCCAGCGCTGATACAGCTCCTTGCCAAGGGAGCAAGGGATCCTAGGCACACCTCTGGCCAGAAGCCAAATAAACAAAACTTATTTTAGAATATGATTAACACTGAAGAAACCCCCAAATCAAGAGGTAGAAAACGACTTCCATTCAAAGCTAGATAGGAGCCAGCCCCAATGTAGCACAAGCTGAAAATAGGAACAGGTATTTTCAGTTGCAGCCTTATGGTGTGCACCAGGCATAGGCAAACTCGGCCCTCCAGATGTTTTGGGACTACAACTCCCATCATCCCTCACCGCTGGTCCTGTTAGCTAGGGATGATGGGAGTTGTAGTCCCAAAACATCTGGAGGGCCGAGTTTGCCTATGCCTGGTGTACACTCTGCCCCATAGAGCCTATAACATTAATCACATACAAACAAAAAATTCAGCAAAAATATTACATAACGACAAAATACAGCTATCTACAACTCCAGACAGACTTGTGGCGTTTTCACCAATGAGCCTTAAATTGGTTTAATTTCTCAAATCTACATTTGAAATACTAATACAGTGGTACCTCGGGTTAAGTACTTAATTCGTTCTGGAGGTCTGTTCTTAACCTGAAACTGTTCTTAACCTGAAGCACCACTTTAGCTAATGGGGCCTCCTGCTGCTGCCGCGCCACCACTACACGATTTCTGTTCTCATCCGGAAGCAAAGTTCTTAACCTGGGGTAATATTTCTGGGTTAGTGGAGTCTGTAACCTGAACCGTATGTAACCCGAGGTACCACTGTATCTACATAGTCAAGAATGAACGTTCTATGTGCCTCACATTAACGATGTGAACATGTGCATGCAACAGTGTGAGAGAGGCTTCAAGGTGCACTGAGTGTCATATGTGAAAACATTCTGGGTTGGACATGGTCCTGCCTCCATCTGGGAGCCTGGCTCTTGCTTCACGTGTTCTGCAGCTCTCAGCTCTCAAGCTAAACTCTTACCTTTCTCAGTCTGGCCTGTTTTACCCTCTGCAATGTATTTCTGCTGTTGTAGGCAGTTTATATGGCAATTTGTCACTTTGTCCCTTTGGGCATCCCTGCGCTCACTGTGGAAAGGCGACCATATGGTTACCATCAGCTGTCGATTGGCAGGGGACCAATATGGGCTGAAGTACCCATTCTTGTGTGTCCTGAAGTACGTTGGGTGTGCTGAAACACGCACATCCCACTCCCCCGATGGAGCTGCACAGATATGCCTTTGGAGACAGTTAGCTTTAACCTCGAAACAAAAACCAGGAGTGGATGAATCTGCCTATTTCTCATCCATGGCACCTTTGCATGGTTTAACCTATTATTCTGCTCTGTTCCCTTTCCCCATGAATCTGTACTTTTAAAAACTTCTCCAAATACCTATTTCAAGGCCTGTTTTCTCTCAATACACACATTTAAATGCTTATTTTGATAGGTTTGAAATACCAAGAACTGTGTCTTATGATTCTGATAAGTGCAAGATCTATTGGATAGCTGAGTTCTATCCATCTATCCATTTATTTATTTCATAAAATGTATGCAGTTTGATTGAAAGAAAATAAACCTTCAAAGCACTTTGCAAAAAATATAAGAAAATAATTTTTTTTAACAGCCAGACAAAAATTAAAATACTAAAACAGACCTCAACTTTTGAAGCACAACTTTTGACGTGCACTGTACTAAAGAGTACAGTGAAGGCACCTGCTTGAACTCAATAGGCAGGGAGTTCGGAAGTTTTGGTGCTGTCACACTGACTAAACCATCGAGTTCTTACAAACGCATAAGTATTATGTAGCCCCTGTAGTAGTGCTAATTCCACCAACTGAAGTGGCTGAGCAAGAGCTGTGGATCAGGACATTCGATATACAGTATGCTTTTGAATCCCTAAATGGAACTAAACTAAAGCTCAATCTGCAGAATTAAGCCCACTGCATTTTGTTCTGACTTGAATGGATATATACTATTCTTCTTTCCTCTTCTGATATGTTTGTGAATTGTCAGCATGACTCCTCAAATTGTATTTTTCTCTCGGCCAGAGGTTTTCAAACTGTGTTTGAAGGAATCCTGGGGTTTCTTGGAAGCTTATTAGGTTTCTGTAATGAGAATATCGGTAATTGAGGGCAACCCCTAAAAGCTAGCTTCTCCTCCATTACAGCTTTTCAGCTGCAATATGTGGCTGTAGAAGAGGCTTGGGTGTGCACCCTCAGTTCACACAGAAACCCAATGAGCCTGGACCAGAGGTCCATGTGAATGTCTGTGCCCCTTGAATATTCTACAGTATGCTCCGCAAGCCGTTGCTGTGGCAGAGATTGATGCAGAAATAAGAGAGACAGGTGAACTTCCCTTGGCTCCCATCGGCTTAGGAGTGAGTTATACTATTTCCCTTGGAATTGGAAAATGACTTCACTCCTTACTGAACCAATCCAGGCAGCTCTTCAATGTGGTGCCTAGCAAAGCGACAGAGACATTTCTCTGTGGCTTAAAAGCAGGCTGTTTCAAAGCGATACTGGGAGTGGGACACAAAATCCCAGCCTTGCCTTTTACCTTGGGTCGTGTGTCCCCACCGGGGATTGCTCCTCCCCTCCATTTTCCCCAGGGTCAGCTCTTTGTAAGAGTCTCCCAGCAAAGCCACGAGGACATTTCTTAATGGCTTTTCTAGATGGCTCTTTTAATAAGAGTCTTTAATAAGAGTCTTATGCAGAGCTGCCGCCTGAAACTTAAGGGATAGGGAATCCCCCCCTCCCCCGTGAGAGACACAAGCTAAAAAGGTTCCCTGTGGGGGTGGGCTTTCTCTCCTAGTCCTCCCCCCCTTTCCTGGTGCCAGTTCTTTTGCTGAGAAGTCACCTACAATTTAGGGCTTGCTCACACTTCTGCTTGTCCCATGCCAAGAAAGCACAGGTCCAAAAGGTTTGCCGCCTGTCCCATCCTTTCTAGGCACATATCCGAGTGGTTTTTGCTTGTCCCACCACTTTCTCCAGGAAAACCCACTGTGTGCCGCTGAATCTGCAGAGAAACCGATAGTTCCGATTCAGCTGCGGACTGCGGATTTCCCCAGGGAAAAGCAGAGGAACAAGCGCGAGTGTGGGGATAGGAATTCTAGGACTTCTTGTGTTTGCCACTCCAAGCTGTACTGAACCCCTCAAAGCTGTTTCGGACCCCAAGTCCAGTGAAGTTATTCAAGAAAGGGACCCTTGAAAGCAGGAAGTTTGAAAAAAACTGCCCTATGCCAAAATTGCCAGCCCCCTCTAGTGTTTCATTACATGACCAGCACCAAGGACAATTCTTTCAGTGCTTTCCAATACGGATCTTTTCCAATGTCAACATTAACGTTGCATTGCGGCTTCTAGGAATAAGGACCCTACCACAAACACTGTCCTACCCCACATCTGCACCCCTCCTTGCCTGTCTTCCTCTCACATTCAGACATGCACACGTAAATGTTAGCAGCTACCAAGTTTCATGTGTGCGTGGAGAAGGCAGAGAGGGTGGACATCTCTTTCTCAGGCACAAAAGCTGAAAACAAGATTTAAGAGTCTACCAAAGAAAAGTCATATTGATCGGTTCTTTAGAACATTCCGAACACATCCTTGTTGCCTGGGCTATAAACAGCAGCTTACCGTGGGTTGGAATGGGAAAGAGGGTTCATTTCTTTCTGATAGTGACACCCTTGATTGACAGGCTGTGGAAGACAAGAAGCAGGAGTGAGAAATGTATTTTGCCAATGTTCTTTCAGTCTCAAAGCTATTATTAACCATTTCAGGCAATCAATATATATGCAGTGCTTACAGAGTTAGAAAAGTAAATAGATGAGGCCCTACTTCCTAATGGCGGGGGTCACCAAAGGGAGGGGAGGAATGAGGAGGGAAGGGTAACAATGGGAGAGTCCATGTAGAATGACCATGCCTTAATATAGGTGCTCTCCCCAAGTCAGGAAAATAATACAACATTTTGCATTTATGAAAGGAAAGTAACGTCATGCTGGTCTGAAGGATGGGAGAAAAGTGAGTATATTCATGATTTGCTAATATTCATCCATAGCAATCATTTGCATTTTCTCACTCACTCGCACTTTTGCAAATTTCTGTATTTTCATCAGTTGGTCACATGCACCAAAACACTAGGTATAATCGATTTCAATTTTAACATTTAAATTCTCATTTTAAATATTCATAATTTCAGAAAAAATGCTCAGAGCCTGATTTAGAAACAAGGCAATTTTTTCTATTTTAAGAAGATTTAAAAGTCACTTTAAAGAAATTATTACACCTGACAGCTAAGCAGAGTAATACGTAGTTCTCAAAGCTATTATGTTCATTTTGGACTGACAGTTTGGAGCAGCTGCTAAACAATTTATACTTCAACATTTTTTCCCTGACAGCCTAGTTATTACATTCCATTTCTTGGTAAACTATCACTGGCTAGAAAGTATAGTTTTTATTATATCACTTTTGTAAGTTGCCCGAGAGCATCTGTTCATGAATTTGCCTTGCATCCTGGTATCTTCACAGGGCCAAGAGACAATTCTACTCCCAACCCCCAAATATGACTACGAACAGAAGGGCAACAGAGAATCAAGCTGCATAACAGATGAAAATGCTAAACCTAGTATAGGACTAAGGTCAAAGAACATGGGAAAAGTAATTGAATACATAAAGCTGAGTATTTATTATTCAGGAATGTACAAAGCATATGAACTGAAACTTGCAGCAAAGATAAATGAGAGACAAAAAACAGCCTTCTGGTGGTGCTGTTGCCATAGATTAGGCCAAGGGACAAAGAGGTTATGTAAAATTAGCCAATATTTAGAACAGAAAGCCTTGTTTTCTGGTGAGAAGCTGCCTATAATCTATATGGAAAAAAATAGCAAAGATTTGATGAGCCAGTAACAGTGGGGAAAATATGATTAATTGGAAAAGACAAGATTTTATTGTTTCACACAAGAGAAGAATGCACAAAATACAATTTTCTCCAGGATCATCAATGCAAGGAAAACTTTACAAATAAGTCCCCTTATTGATAAGTTCCCTTCTGCAGAATACAAAATGACATTGGGGCACAGCTGTTTTGCTTCACTTGTATAAAACATAATTCTTATGCGGGGTTTACTTTTCATCAGTCCTAGAGCTGTGAGTGGTAAAAGAGAACAAAAAATGAGTCAAAATCTGCCTTGCCTAACAGCAAAAATTCAAGATCGCAGACAGAATGGAAAAAACTCATAAGCCCTATTCATGCATTATTTGCATGCAATGATGATTAATTTGCATGTGATGACTTCTAGACCTGCCGCCAACATCACATCTGCCCTTTAGAACAACTGTGCACATTTGGACTGTGTAGGTGTCCCAACTGTACGGTGGTCTACAAGTGAGCAGGAGCTCATGTATCAGGTTTTCCTTATACACAACCACACACAATGTGTTGCTGCTGCTGCTGCTGCAGGAAACAGATTCAAAGTCAGGGGTGGGGATAAAAGCTCTACCCCATTCTGGAGAAAACATGCCACTGCCCTCACAAGAGTAATGAGTGAATAGTTCCATGGTGTTTTCATCCAAAATGGGCATGTACCTTATATCTTAACCTGGGGTGAGATGCCAGTGAGATGCCTTTTGTTTGATGCAGAAGATAACTCTTAATTCATTCCAGAGAGGGCAGTCTGGAAGGCCACATATTACAAACCTCAGAATCTACAGCCTTCATAGTTGCAGAACACAAGCGGAAAGTGACAGTAATCAGAAATATATATTATGCTGTCAGGTCTCGCGATTTCATTTCCAGTCTCATAATTACTCATTGATTTTGAACATCAGGAATTAGCAGCAATAGGCACTCTGTCCTCTCACATGACTGAACAATGAGTTTATGGGTGGGGCTGAGAGACGTCCTACTGGGATAGCTCAGCCAGTAAAGCACAAGACTCTTCATCCCAGGGTCATGGGTTCAGGCCTCAGGTTGGGAAAAAGATTCCTGCCTTGGAGGGGGTTGGACTAGATGATCCTCATTGTCCCTTCCAACTCGACAATTCTATTATTCTATTATTCTATGCATAATTTTCTGAACACTGAGGCACAAGTTGTCATTTTGGGTTCCAGACTTTGCCAAACATCTGCCCCAATCCAGTTAATGAGATTTGCACAAGGAAGCAGACTCCTGCCAACGTTTCACTTGATGGATCTGGAATTATAGGTGAAAACTGGATGCATGTACAATTGTGGATATAGTCTGGATGTGTTACCTTGCTACCTGCCTTACATTGCTACGGAAGTCACCAAAATACTTGTGGTTGGGAGAACTCTTGAGTCAGCAGATCTACAGAATGGCAAAAATTGGTAGCAATGGTGATTTATACTTGCCAACTTTGGAAAGAAGAATGGAATCAAGCAGGCTTCGGAAAAGAATAATAGAGTCAACTTTTCATACGGAAAGGTTTTTTACTAGGCAAAAAGCTGAAGCATGTTGGAAGGACAGCTTAAGGAAACTTGCCTTTCAGCTGTACTTTCCTCAGTGGCTTTTTGGACAAGCAACGAATTTCAATTGCCAGCGTTGTCAACTTGACATCGCATAAAACTTTATACTCTCCGCTAAACTGAACCAAAACAGTTTCAAAAGTCAAGTTCATAGATTGCAGTGTGTAAAGATAGGCAACATCAGAATCCACTGAATGATTACTTGGGTTCTGAATGGTTCATTTGCTTGAAAAGTGTCTTAACAGAATTATGGTCTCAAGTTAAAAACGCAGAAAGGGGAAAAATCCATAAAGAGGTCTGGTTCTCTGTGGAGAGAGGCACCCACAAAACATTCATCACTAGCTGTAGCTACATCTAATTATACTTTTAAATAAGTAATTCATTATATCTTAATGCTTAAAAAAACCAAGAGAGACACATTAGTCCAAAGTGTACAGAAGTTGATCAAAGTGCTCACTTTGAACCCAAACATGAGTTTGCTAAGTACCAGGACACATTTTATTCTGAGTATTTTTGTTCTAAAATTACGTAAAACTAAAATGGGCATCCCCTTCATTGATCACTGCCTTGCCGTGGCGAAGGGGCTTGAATAACTCAGAGAAGCTATGAGCTGTGCCGTACAGGGCCACCCAAGATGGACAGGTCATAGTGGAGAGTTTTGACCAAACGTGATCCACCTGGAGCAGAAACCGGCAAACCACTCCAGTATCCCTGCCAAGAAAACTCCATGGACAAAAGACAACCAATATAGTGGCTGGCGAACATTACTGGACAGAAATCACTGTATTTACAATAGGTATGCATACCAAACATTTGTGATTAGGCCTATGAGGGCAATTCATATGATCGTGAAGCTGAGGCTCCAATACTTTTGGCCACCTAATGCAGAAGGAGTAAGACTCCCTGGAAAAGACCCTGAATGTTGGGAAGATTAGGGCACAAGGAGAAGTGGACGCAAGAGGGACAGATGGTTGAACAGTGTTCTCGAAGCTAGGAACATGAGTTTGACCAAACTGCGGGAGGCAGTGGAAGACAGGAGTACCTGGCAGTGCTCTAGTCCATGGGGTCACGAAGAGTTAGACATGACTAATGACTAAACAACAACAAAATGGGCACGTATAATCCTGAGTTTGCCTATGCCTGGACCAGGCTGTTTATCCATCTAACACAGACCTAAGTTTCTGTTAGTTGCTGTGAGACTAAACTTATATGCAGCATGTTCAGGATCACATCATGGAACTAACAAAGCTGGCGGAGAAGGATGTGATGTCTGGTGAATGGCATAGGTGGTGCTTAAGGGCAAAGCAGTAAATGGCTATTTTGTAACAAAACTGCTTCCTTCCTTCCAAAGGAAGTAGAGCATCTTATTACAATAGACTGTGATTGTTCAAGCTTCATACAGAACAAATAATACAAAAAAATGGCTGAGGTGCTGGAGCGGACATATTCTTAATTGCCTCTGGAGAGCTGAGTAGATTCTGCATTCTGGCTATAACTTCCATCAAGGAAAGGGATGATAACTACAATGGGCTGCAGAGCATTTTTGAAATACCATGGATTTTTGGATATAAAAAATGAGTGCCATTCTTCCCTCTGTAATATAGTATTTTTAAAGTATGTATTATACTGAACATTAGGACATTTTCAAGTCAACATAAATGTTGTAATTGTCCCCTCCCTCAAGGAAAAGACAAATATTCAAACCTTATCTTTCTAGCCTGAAAAAATTATTTCAGCTTAAAAGGTAGCTTATGGTTCTCCGCCCACTTTGCAAAAATAAAGGATTTCTACTCCGATCGCTTGCTTTCGAGGAATGATATAGAGTAATACTGAAATCCTTTTGGAGCGAAAACAAAGCTCAGTGATAACAGCACATGCATTGTATGCAGAAGATGTCAGGTTCAATACTTTAAACCTCCAGTTAAGAGGATCAAGCTAGCAGGTGATGGGAAAGACCTTTTGACTCACTCTCTTAAGAACCTCCGCCAGTCATGGTAAGCTATATTTGGGCTTGATGGTCTAATAGTTCAACCTGTTCTTTAGACACACTTAGGAGTAAGACCATTGAACACAGAGGGATGCTGAGTAAACATGCTCAGGAATAGACAGCATGTATCTCAATATACATTCATATTCAGAAAGACAGGTCCCACGTCATTCTAGCAGTAGCTTTGAGTTGTTTCAGAAGCATCTATCTTCAGTGACGACAGCCGATGGAATAGAGTTGTCCAGAAACAAAAGCTCTGGGTGGCAACTGCAGGAAGACAGATTTTGGCCAAACTTTAGGAGAAAACAGCCTAATGGTTAGAGTTGTTTGGCAGTGTGACTGACTGCTGTAGGAGTTGATGGGTTTTGTTGTTGTTGTTGGAGGCATTTAAACAGAGCATCTGCCACAGATGCCGTAGCTGCACCCTGCCCATTATTACTCCATGGAAGCTCTTGAGTGTGTTTGAAACTCTCCTAAGAACCTTACTGCCACTGTTGGAAAGTTTTATCAGTAATGCATGGCTGCAGAGTTCACTCATGAGTTATGAGCAACTATGCTGACATCGCTTAAAGGTAGAACCCTAGAAGAACACAAAGGTATAGGAAAAATATGTTTGTATATATCCAGGATCTATAACATTTAGGATCCTTCTCAAGCCAACACAAAGCTTTAAATGAGCCCAGAAGAACTAGGGCTCCCACTAGGAGAACATACAGAAGGCATGCTCAAGCTTACCGCTGGGAGACATGAGTTCCAGGTGGTTGTGTCATCACTGCTTGCACTGATGCTGATATTACAGTTGTCTATCTGAGATGCACTCAACCCATGTGAAGGTCCGTTATCTTCCAGCTCTTCGTTCTGTTGCCTTTTCATACTAGCCAACATCTGCAGTTCAGAAGCACTCATGTTGCTCGGCTGGTAGTTTCTCCAGTCATACTCCTATGAATTGTATTGAAATGAAACGTGAGGGTGGTAATGGAAGGAATCACTATGCAGGAGCGTAGGAAGGGGGGTGGTCCGCCCCAGGTGCCATCATGGAGGGGGGTGACAAATTATCAAGGAACAACTACTGCCCTACTAGGGCAGTTCATAAAAAAACTTTTTTGGGGGAAATGCCTGCTCCAAAGGTCTTATCTTACTACACTAGGGATTATATAGCTATATATAAAATTTCACGCATATCAGTTAATATCTTGACCCTCCTCCACAAAAATAGCTGTTTTCTTGGCCGTTTTCCTATGTCGTGAAGGCTGAAATTTCAATTCACTGAAACATTTACTGTTCCCAACCCTAACGTTGCGGGAAGCCATCTAATTAGATTTTAATTTGATTTTGACATGTTTTTAGGAGGTAATTTAATTATTGTTTGATTTTATACCAATGTTATGTATCTGATGTTAGCCACCCTGAGCCCGACTTTGGCCGGGGAGGTTGGGATATAAATAAAAGTTTATTATTATTATTTCTTTGTAAGAAAACATGAAATAACGTAAAACCATTTCTGCAGGCAAAAAAATGAAAATAAATCAATGTGTGTGGGGGGTGACAAGAAATTTTCCGCACCAGGTACCACCTGACCTTCCTATGCCTCTGTCACTATGGAGAAGACATGGACACTTTCCAACAGCAGTTGAAAAGATCCAATATTTCTTGCAAGAGAAGCAGGGCAAAGCGTTCATTAATATACACACCAGCTTCTGCTATGGATAATAACTGCATCGACAACTTAACAGAAAGGACATTGAATAAAAATACAGCTATGTGGGACAGCTTGTATTCTAGTAGTTTTGAGACTTGCATGGTGTATAAAGCTGCCAGGAATGTTTGATTAATACTGTATAAATGAGTATAAGAGATGAGAAAACTAATTGAACTAGGATAGATTGCAAACACTGCAAGGTTCGTTAATTACTATAATCCAATGAATTAAAATAAACCAGATCATCAGTTGGAGGTGGATTCACCTAAGTTTATTTATTTATTTATTCTCATATTTATTTCTATTTGGGGGGGGGGAGAATTGAGAGGAATACGGCTTCAAGACAGAACATGTTTTGATGTTGCAAGACTCCAAGTTTGGGCTAAAACTCTACACTTGTTTACCTGAAATAACCACCAAATTCAATAGGACTTGTTTCTAAGTAAATTCTGAAGGATTGCACTATTGACTCCTGGCATGGAGGCAAAGTTAAATCAAAGTTTGTCACCAACACAAGTCAGTAGTGGGCGAGTTGTTTATTACATGACTAAGATTCTACTGTGAGCTCCCACAACACTCCTCCCCAAGTAGGTTTATTTAGAACTAAATCCCGAGCTGAAGAAATGAAAAGCAATATGCACATGCTGAGTGAAACTGTACATGTTCTACACATTAACATTTACTCATTAAAATATCAGCTTCAGCCCATGTGTAATCTCAACTAAGGGTCTGAGGAATTCTTTCATTTGTTTAAAAAAAAAAGGAAAAAGGGGAACACTGTGGTGATGGCCAAGATCTGAACCAAGAGCTGTTATTCACAGAATCATAGAGCTGGAAGGGACCCCATGGGTCATGTAGTCAAACCCCCTGCAATTACCCAGAATTAAATCCCACTGAATCCAATGAGATTTACTCCCAAGCAAATGTGATGGTTTAGAATCGGTGAAGTTGCATGCACTTGTCAACAGAGGGCAACTTCCTTCTGTGTTGCCTAGACAACCAGAGAAAGCAAGCTGCTAGCTTTCACAATAGTCTTTTCCTCACACAAGCCCTCTCTAGTGCCCCTTTTCCTGATGAGAGCCAGTGAAACAGTAAGTTCTCAAAACAGAATTAAGTCTGATAAATTCACGGAAATGTTTCTCCTCCAGTTACAGAATCTCAATTTCATTAGGTGTCGGGTAGAGTTGGACCAAACTGTGGGAGGCAGTGGAAGACAGGAGTGCCTAGCGTGCTCTGGTCCATGGGGTCACGAAGAGTCGGACACGACTAAATGACTAAACAACAACAACAACAACAACAACAACAACAACCACAACAACCACAGCTGTATATTTAGCTGCAGCCACTCTGCACAAAAGCTTTCTGGGAACTGCAGGTACTAAAGATCTATTCCCAAGCTCTAAAGGGGTCTGATGTTCACACAGAAATTACGCAAGCAGGGGCTACCCTGTTTGCTTCAAATGATAAGACTTTCTACCTGCATTTTATACAGATGGTATGGCAATGGGGAGAATACTACTCCCTTGGTACAACAGCTCTACTGGTTACCCATCTGTTTCTGGGCACAATTCTAAGTGCTTGTTATATAAAGCCCTATATGGCTTAGGTTCAAGCCATCTGAAAGATAGTCATAAAAACCTGCCTGAGTTTTGAGATCTTCAGGAGAGGGCCTTCTCTCAGTCCTGCCATCCTCACAGGCATGCTTGGTGGGGATGCTGGAGAGGACCTTCTTGGTGGCTGCTCCCAATCTTTGGACCTCCCTCCCTAGAAAAGCTAGACTGGCTCCCGCCTTGTCCTTCCACTGGCAGTTGAAGATTTTCTTGTTCCAACAGGCTTTTGGGAACTGACTGCTTTTAATGAAAGGGCTGGTGCCATGCTGTTTTTATTGTAATTTTTGGCACGGTTTTAATCTATTTTATGCATGTATGTAGTTTTAATTCTATTAATGTTTCATTGATTTTTAATGATGGTTTAAAAATGTTTTTCAGCAGTTCTTATTTTTATCTGTAAGCCGTCTTGATTCCCATCATGGAAAAAGGTAGGGTATATATCATCATCGGCCCAGGGGTTTCACTGAACATCTGAGTGCTCCCTTTGCCCTATTGCACTCACAATAACAAATGGAATATGGCTTTTAAATTGGTGCAAAAACTCTTTCAAAGAAAGGGGTCAGAAATTCGCCTTTTAACACCTTGCACTTATGGCTCATGATGGCATCAGAAATCCATTCCCTTTTCAGCAGCTTCAGCCCCCACCAGGGTACATAGAAAATCATGCCAAAGTGTTGAATGCTTCTAGGCCAAATTACATCTACCCTGAACATCATGGCTTATTAGTGTTGATAACTAGTTGTTATTCACTGGCAGCTCAATCTTGAAAAAGGCTTTTAAAATAAACTTACTGCCCCCTCAGCTGCTTGAACAACAACAACAACTCAATCAACTGTCCACAACATGTGCCAGTTCTTTCATAATGTTAATTTATTACTTGGATTTCAGTAATACCTATTACATTCTAGCTACCTTCTACACATTCAGAAAGACAAAGTCTCCAAGCCTCCCTTGGGCATGCTTGAAAAAACACACAATCCATTTTGAAACCTTTTTTTAGTGGGTGTGCACTTAAGCCTTTCGCATTTGACAATTCAAATAAGCCTGGTCCATTTACCCAACCTGAGAGTCAATCATGAACATTCTTTCAAAATGAACCCCCAGCTTGGACCACAACTTTCCTCTCTCTCTCTCTATATATATTCACTTAGAACCAATAATTAGCGTTCCTTTATATTGCAAAAAAGAGTAGGCTGAAAGAACTGAGGGACAGGGAGGAACTTAGAAATTCCTCATGTTGTTCTCTGTTCTTTAACAGTCCAAACGTTAGCACACACTGTGAGCCTTTTTGATCACAAATAGCAATGTGCACTCAAGACTTTTAATCACAATATTGAAATTTAAAGAATGGTGTGAACATTGTACTTTGAGAGAGGGGAAAATATATGCCTGAGAGAGGGGAAAATATATGCCTGTTGCATGCTGGCCAGGGTTCATTCTTCTATGATTTGAAGTGGCCAAGAAATGATTGCAGCATTGATTTGTACACAAAAAAGTTTTAAGACAGTGGCGTATTATTTTGCAGGTCCTTTTGCTTTTTGGTTAATTGCATGTCTTAAGGCCCTTTCTGTATTTTGTACAAGGATTAGCAGTTTCCCCCATGGAATATTTATGTTCTGTAAGGTCTAGACTTTAATGAAGCAAGCTACTGCCCTTTCCTTGACACCTAGGAATAAACCAGATTTACTGAAAATGTAGTTTTGATCAACACATCAAGCAAGTAGCCTTGCATCAACCTTTCTGCATTTGAGGCCAGACTCTTGGTAGCCATACCATAAAGGAGCTGGAGACCCTCCAGTTGTTGTAACCTCCTCCTCTGCAAAGGTGTGTTGGGGAGGGGAGTGTCTGACAGCTGACTGCTCTTATCATGGGCTCAGTGCTCCTTTCTGTGTAAATTTTTTAGGGTAGTGATGCTAGCTAGGCTAAAAACAGTGTACAGGGTCCCTTCCCATTGGGGAGTGGGAGGCTACCCCACCTCAGCGGCTTCTGAGTCATCAGAAAAACCAACCCTATACAGAGAGGAGAGGAGATCTATCATGTTTAATAGAAGCTATGGAGTCGAAAGACACCCCAACTAGTCTAATTCCATGCTTCAAAACAAGATAAGACAACCTGCCTCTTTATCCCCCTCTCCACCGCCAAATCAACATATACAACCTGGAGCTCAGTATGCTACAAGCAAAGACCAGGTGCACACAGAATCTAATGCAATAGCTCCCCACGACTGCCAGTGGTGCAACTATGTAATTATAAATTTGGGTAGGGAACTGGATCTGGCCGGAGGTCACCTGGCTGTCACCTGCAGCCAGGAATCACGGAGACTTGGAAGCTGCACAGTCACCAGCTGCAAATGACGGGAGGCAGTGCAAGACCCAGTCTGAGCGGTGCCTCCTTTAAACAATAAAAACTATTGGGAAGCGAGAAAACCAAACTTCCAAGATTTTGTGCTTTGCATTGGACAAGATCTCACCATACATTTTCTCAAAATATTTGCTGTGAAGATTATTATTCTTGGCAAAATAAAAAAATTAATCCCCCGTTTTTTTCTTGGTAAAATGTACAGTATCTGCATGGGCAACGGTGAACAGGACAGCTAGAAAGCATGCTGTAATCAAAAGACCAGCTGCACAAGAGGAAGATGAATAATGTTGACCTTTATTTAGAATCCTCTCAGGCACAGGGTTGTAATCTGACATCTGAGATTACCTCTTAAGGGCTACCTCCTAGGAATTCTTTGTAATGCTGCAAGTTTAAAGGAAAGTAGAAATGCTTTGTTAGGTCACAATCCTGAGAATGTGACCTACCAACTTGATCCCTGAAAATGCTCTCCTTGGTCTGAAATACAGCCCTGGTGCTCTACAGCCCCTTTATGTTTGGTGGTATTTAAATGGGGATTTCCTAAAACGGATTTCAAACTGAAGTTCCTTTTTATTCTCAAAGGGGTTTTTCATGCAAAAAGTAATTTCACACGGCTCCCAAGATTCTTCTAAATGCAACACTTCAGCTGGCAATTAAAAGCTTATCTTGTCTTTCTGTATATCCTCTCCATACGATAAGAAGCATTTTTATTAAGCTTTTAAAACATTCAACGGATTGACAAAACCTGTTATAAAAAAGCCATTTTTTCCAGTTTAGAGATGCACATAATGACATTTGCATTCTCTTAGGTTCAAATGATTATCCAGAATTGTTTAAATTTAGTTATACGTGCGGAAAAGTTTAATTACCAGCTATCTACTTGGTTGCAATATTACCCAGAGGGCTGCACTTCTTTCTTAATTAAAAAATATTTGAACTTAATAATAGAGAACTCTATTAAAACATGAATAAAACATTGCAAGCATGCAGGTCCTTAAAGTTTACTAAGTAGTTAGCAAATCAATTTCATTAAGAGTTGTTTGAGCATTTTTTCACTAGTCATATACATGTGGGGATTAGCAGACTTCTTCACACCAAGTTTCCACTGCAAAAATTCCTTTGACATGAAACCCTACACATTAGGCTGTATCTGCACCATGCTTTTGCCTTGGTCTGAGAAAGGAGGGAATGGAAGAGGAGTTATCACAAGCTTGTAAACTGCAGCTTGCCTGGTGGTCACCTGTAGTAAATGAAGTATCTCCTCAAGGTGAGAAAGGAGAGAAACTTTTATAAATTAAGAACTTGTCGCACTGTTGGCTCTTGAAGTCAGCTACACTCCATCCCTGACAAAAGAAGCCGCTGTCCCTTTAAACCTGGCTTCTTTCTGTATGCTTCGATCCAGTCCACTATCATCTCCTAGGACTGTCTCAAATGAGCATGCTTTTGGGTAAAGGCTTCCTTTTTTTCGCATTACTACCAGGCCACCAGGGGACAGATCTGTTGGGCAGACCTCCCAGGTCTGCTGCTTCTCATTGCTTTCTACACTCTGGACTACAGGAGTTAGGGTGAGGTGTACATAGGTCCATTGTTGTTTCACTCAGGTAACAGTTCCAGCCCACCAATTTCCTTTTCTGACCAAACTAGGCAGACCACAGACCCCTGGCAGTGTGATCCTGAGCCCTGAGTTATGAAGCACTTTGTAAAGCAGGGATGGTATGATAAGCCCCATCTCAGTGCCAAGCCTACTGTTGCACTATGCAGACTTAGTATTGTTCGTGTCTCCGCTATTCAGTTTGTCTACATCAATTCCAGCCCAGAGCCACGGTTCAGGCAACACAACCACTTTAGGAAATATTATGATTATTGGTATGTTCTGCAAATTGGTTAGCGCGCCAAGTAGCACTTTCAATTTTGAATCCTGTCTTTTTATTTTCATGAATTTATTTCATAAAATTTATGTTGACTGATGGGAGTCCAATCACCTCTGGAGGGCCACATCCCAGGTCAAGAGGGAGGCAGTGGCAGAAGTCACAGAACAGAGTCTGTGTCTACAATTAGTACAGTTAGTGACTGGGCTTGCATGCATTAAACAAATACAGTCCACTAGAAATGAATCTGAAGAGTCAAGAGACATTACAATAAAATTGTATATGCTGCACAGCAAGACATTTAACTGTCCAAAAAATGTCAGAAGAATCTGACAGTTTAAGAGCGGCCACCTCTAACACAACACACATTCCATTTTAAAACTCTCTATTCATAGCAGACTATTTAGCACATAAATTGAGTGAGGAAATCTTAACTGTTAAAAAAGGTACAAAGTATTGTCACCTTATTTGCAGTGGACTAATTTGTTCTTGCATAACTGTTGCTGTAACGAGAGTACACAGTGGGGAAGGGAGTAAAACCACATGAGGGAGAAGAATCAATTTGATGGGCATGGGTATAGTCCCCAAAATAGCCTGGGGATTTGGTATATGACACTACCTTACGGTTAGCCTTCAATCATGTCATTTATTATTTTTCTGGATGGCTGCAGCGACACTATGAAGTGTAGAGACTAATGATCTCACGAGTTCGCCTGCAGATTGCTATTGAAAATCTGTCAATTTTCCTCTCCAGGACTTCAGCCGTCTAAACTGAACCTGCATTGGTAATTCACAGACTTCAAAAGTTTGCCAGTGATTACAATAAACTTGCCCTGCTTGGAAGTCTGAGCTACCACCGTTTGTAATGAAAATTTCGAGTCATATTATCCCCCCGCCCCCGGAACACCCACTATGGTAGCAACTGGAAGGCTAATTAATCAGAAGAGTACAACTGAAAAATAAGAACAAAAGTGCTGGCACTGATTTGGATCATCAGACTACCCAGGCCAGTGCAGTGCCCTCCATACATATGAGCAGCAGCCCACGGCAAGCTCACTAGGTCAGAGGCAGCCAACACGGTGCCTCCTCCAAATGACATTGGACCGCAACTTCCATCTACCCCGGCTAGAGTGGTCAATGGTCAGGGATGGTGGGAGTTGCAGAACAACAACATATGGAGGTGCATTCAGTCCACTCTTCTCTCTTCTCCTTTCTTATTGCGACTGGGACTTGCAGAATTGACAGGGACATAAACTGGCCCCTAGTTCACATTAAGGAAAAAAGAACCATGCTAGTGAGTCTGCTGCCCAGACTATAAAGTAACAAACCTGTTCAGTCATGATTTTCATTAATGAAGGCAACGGAGGATAGGGGGAACCTACATGAGCGAGCCACCGACTTAATCTGCGTATTTTCACTGCACGTGCAATGGACCAGGTAGTCTACCGGGTCCAACCTTCACAGGCTCACCAAAAATACATTCCCCTTAGCACAACTGCAAAATGTGTTACATGATGGTCCTTTCAGAGCAGACAGTCCCAAGTGGCTCATACAAGTCAAGTGCCAAAAAATCCTTTCTGGGCCTGCCACTAATCCATGAGCTGAAGAGAAATTTATTCCCAGCCAAGAATCAGATGGCATTCAATCAGATGGTGAATGGCTTTTCCTTCCTGCTCAACAAGGACAGCAGGGCATATAACCACCCACTCAACATCCCCTTTTCAATCATCACAGTTCCAAAAGCTGCAATGGCACAGAAGAGTCCCCAAGATCTTAGGGATATTTATTTGGATTGATTCTGACTCCGGAAGACTCCAGCTAAGAGATAAAGCAAAAATCTGAGATACTTTCATAACTTTCTTGAAACTAAACAATTTTGTTTGTTTCTTCAGCTGTTCCAGTGAGCTTTTCCTAGGCGTTTATACCCCCAGTCTTGATTTACAAGCTATATTTATTATTGGCCAATTGGTATTCATTAGTTCTTCTACCCACATTCTTCTCTCACTGTCATCTTTGTAACAAATGTCAAACTACAATTGGACAGATTGCACTCATTCAAAAGATTTTTTTAAAAATTACCTCCAAATGTTCTAAACTTAAATCAGTCCTTGACAAATCTTGACATGTGGATTGACAAATCATGAGAGATTTTTAAAAGCACAATAGTTTAGAGAAACTTTGTCTCTGTATTTTCTATCTTCAATATATTTGCTGAAAACATTTTTTGATTTTGATTCGGTAGCCTATGGGCAAGCAACTTAAACCCGCATCTGGATATACATTAAATTGCTTCAGAGGCCACATGCTGTCTATGGCTTATGCTGTTCATTCTTGATCTTCGGTGGGAATCCTAACCCCACTTACATGGGAGTAAATCCAAAAAGCAGACATTTTTAGGACTGCATTGCTATTCAGTTGCTATTGATGGCCCTACCTGCCATGAATTTAGACTGCTCCTTTGTAACCTTGATTTGTTATTAATTTATCTTTGCTTTACAGATTTATCATACTCTGTTATTGGTCACTGCCCCGTACTGGGCCAATGAGTTCAAATATATGAAACCAAGTTCGCATCACTGGGTGCAAAGTGGACATGCAGGGATACACAGAACCTGCAATGCCCACTTATTCAAACAATATACAGTGGTACCTTGGGTTACATACGCTTCAGGTTACAGACTCCGCTAACCCAGAAATAGTGCTTCAGGTTAAGAACTTTGCTTCAGGATGAGAACAGAAATCATGCTCCAGCGGCGGCACAGCAGCAGGAGGCCCCATTAGCTAAAGTGCTCTGGAATGAATTAAGTACTTAACCCGAGGTACCACTGTAGATAGAAAACCATAATATTTTCTCCATGCTCCAAAACACTTACAGGAATTTGGACTATCAGATTTGAATTCTCCTGTGGGATTTCTTTGAGGGATTTTCTGCTGATGGAAGTTCTTAATGGGCTGGTTGATGTACCCTTTGATACAAAAGATGCTTCCTTCCTGGGCTCAGGCATGCTTCCTGTTGGGGACAAGCAGGAAGTCGGCAAGAAGTTTCTTTGGATGTTATCTTCCTTTCCTGCCATCACAATTGAATCTTCTGTCATTGGCGACAGCTCCTCACTGGTGTGTTTTGCATATTCTTTGTTTGTGCTGTTTTCTGGACTTCTGCATGTCCTCTGGAGTGGGATCTCTTTGAAAACTGCAAGTTCAGATGACCCTAATAACGAGGGGCTGGTCGGAGCCTCTTGTATAAATTCACTGTCGTTATCATCCTAGAATAAAGAAAGACAACAAAATATGAATGATACCCAAATACTGCCTGTTTTACAATTTCTTACTATTTTTCTCATTCAACATAGATGCAGAGTATACACAAGAGAGAGGGTCCCCCCCCCCACTGTTGACATCTGAAAGTCTGTCATATTCCTAACTTTTCTGTTTCAGGTGGCTTTTAGGGAGGCAAAGTAATTCTTTTTTTAAAACAACAACAACCACCCTGCTTTAGATCTCCATATTTGTACCTCAGGCTTTGTAAACCTTTGCTTTTTCTGCATTCTCCCTTTCCCCATCAACCTACACACAATGCTTAGATACATTCCTCATGGAGAGTTGCATCATTCCCCTTAGTAGGGATATCAACAAGGCCTCTCTTTTCCACAGCTACACACACTTTTATTTACCATATGGGGAAATACTATAACATACACTAATATAATTTGGCAGATTGTATATACATCAATATCATATTCTGCAATATCACATTTTAGCTGACATTTGCCCTGTATCTTCACACTACCCACCAATACACATTTCTATTTCTGCAAGTCTCCCTTGTAGATTTTTTTTTTAAAAAAACCCTATTCAATCATGCACCAGTGCCAAAGCTTCAATAAAGTATGTCTGATTAACTGTAGCACGGCATATGTACACTGAAGAGACTGATTTCCCCAAGGATATGGCTCTTCTATTGTAGTGCCACATTCCTTGAAAGAAGATGCAGATGGGTATCTGGACAATAATTTCTGGATACAGAAAACTGATTGCTCTCGCTCAGTTGTAATTTCTAAAAGATCATTCTTGAGAGCCCACTTTGGAGCAGATGGGACCTAGTCCTTTGTATCCAGATCTTTAATGTTGAGAAGCCAGAGTTAACATGCTTTGTGAAGAGAAGACAGTCTTATTCATTTAAATGTGACTGAGAAGAGTGGGAAGAGCTTCATAGGGTGAGGACTGCAGTGCTGCACACTGTCATGGTAATGTAGATCCCATAGGTTTTTAAAGGGATCGACAGTATTTAGAAATTGTAACCTGAGGAGTACAATGAGAACGTGGGCCAAATCTTAACACTGACCCTGCTCCCCCACCCAGCAAAATGGGCAGATCTGGACAGAGGAATGCAAAGATGATGGTGGTGGGAGGTGGAAGGAAGCAAAGGCACTCTGTGGCCAGTAAGATTTCCAAGTTGCCCATGCCAGCGAGCAAGCCACACACAGAAGCTTTTAGATGGGTCAAGGTACCATCTGAATTGCTCTGGCCTACAGAAAAATTGCTGTTGGTTTCCCTGTAGCTCTCTCCTTTGGTCAAAGGCGGATGGTGGTAAACAGGGCAAATTCCCTTACGTCCAAAGGAAATTCATTTTCTGCATCTTCAAATAGCCTTTCCCCTGATCTAGCATTTTTCATGTGTATGTCATTGCACAGATGATACGTTTGTTTACTTGGGTTGCCCCGTTCATTTTCAATGAATGGAAAACCTTCTCCGTCTTTTAGGTAAGTCTACAGATCCAACGGGACACGGGTGGCGCTGTGGGTTAAACCACGGAGCCTAGGACTGGCCGATCAGAAGGTCGGCGGCTCGAATCCCCATGACGGGGTGAGCTCCCGTTGCTCGGTCCCTGCTCCTGCCAACCTAGCAGTTCGAAAGCACGTCAAAGTGCAAGTAGATAAATAGGTACGGCTCTGGCGGGAAGGTAAACGGCGTTTCCGTGCACTGCTCTGGTTCACCAGAAGCGGCTTAGTCATGCTAACCACATGACCCGGAAGCTGTACGCTGGCTCCCTTGGCCAATAAAGCGAGATGAGCGCCGCAACCCCAGAGTCGGCCATGACTAGACCTAATGGTCAGGGGTCCCTTTACCTTTACAGATCCAACTGCTTACCTAAAAGAAGGAGAAGCAAATAATGAAGCTGAACTTCAAAGCAGAGTTCAGAAAGCTTTCTGTATTGGCTCCTGAACACAGATTGCACATTATTCTCGTTACCTTTGTTTGACACAGGACAGAGTTTTGTTCATGTGTACAAGAATATGAATTTTGCCATTGATTTAAGCATAGAAAATGGATGATTTGTGTCCAAGGGAAAATCCACAATGCATACCCATTCCAGTTTATTTTTATGTAGGAAATAAAGTAAACCAAAGTAAAACTTAAATGGGAAAGAGCACAAAGTGACAAATATCTATAAGAAGAAACATTATTATAACTCAGTCCTTTTCCTAATTAGTTACTTGTCTTATCTTTCTGGATTATAACTGTCAAAGAGAATATCTTGGTATTTGTAAAGAACTCCAAAAACAGAGACCAGATGATGGCCATGATTTAAGATTCAGTATGTCAACTTTAACTGGCTAAACCCTAAAATCATAGCATTGTAATATAACTAATGATACTTGTCAAATCTAAGGTGAAAAAATAACCAAGAGATACAGGAATGTAGGGTTATATCTTTGGTTATATTTAGCATGCAAACTGCAATTTTCTCAGGGAGACATAATTTTGAAAAAGAAAAAAAAAGTTTTATCTTCCTGGCTGCAATAGAACTCTTTGGAACTTCTAAGTTAGTGGAAAGAGATTCAAATGATAAGAAATGATTTCCATAATTAAATAGGCAAGAGTCTGGAATGTTAATAAAGGCAGAGAAACATAGCAGTTGCCATAACAACCTGATGTAATGGCTGATTGACATGACAATCTGCTGAATTTTTGTAATTATAGCAGCAGCTGATGTTTCCAGCTACGTTATTGGTTCTTTTTCAGTCATCTTAGAGCTCAATACTTTTCATATTGCCAAAGCTGCAAAATCCTTCATTACACTCCTGCAGGTGCCACCCATGTCAAGGGGTGAAAGTATAAACAAACAGCATTTTTTTGTTTTAAAAATCAGATTATTATTTTTTGGGGGTGAGGAAATCATGTTCTTCACATGCCACTGCACTGTGAACTCTCATCTGCAATGTATAATGCAAATCTAAAATAGAGAAACTATCTCTCTCTTTAAAGGTTTTTAAAAAGGGGGGAAGTACATCAACTAACAAGAAAACAAGGCAAAAGAAAGAGTGCAAGAAGCCTGCACTATGCATCAATTTAGTTCACAAGTGTTGCAGGAGTGTTGCACAACATTTTTAACAAGGTGAATAAAACTGAAATTGATTGACCATTCAAGTTAGGTGTTTATGAGAGGCAATAGGCCTTGATGGCCTAGAATACATTTCCAATATGCATTCGCTCACAGCATTAGTACTGAGACAGTTTGGTAGCTATGTTACGTATGCCACAAAGCAGTTTATATTAGATGCAATGTGCTGGTTGAACAGGCCAAAACATCGACGTCACACAACGTTGTACAGGCACACAGTTGAGAGGAGTAGATGAAGTTGCTTTCAAATCAGTTATCTTGTCTTGATATGATTTCCATATACTGAAAATGTGTAGATGTTTCATTAAAAGTGTTTGGCTAAATAAAGGGTTCACTGTTATATATATATTTCTACAGGAATGCCTCGATCCAGGCCTTGGCCAATGACTCCCTTGTGTTGAGTTTCTCTACTGAAGAAGGTATCACACCTGCACCTCAGATCCGTGATTTCTCATTCACAAATGGCATGCGCATGTGAGTGAACTTGATTACTTGCAAAGCTTTTCTCTTCCATCCCCATATAACCTCATCATCTTCACCCCTGATGAAATTTAGATTTTAAGCTCTTCAAGAGATCTGTTTTTGCTGATGTCACTGTTAAGTGTCAGTTCAATGCCTAGAGCTGCCAAGTGATCTCTCTCTCTCTCTAACACGCACACACACACACACACACACCGATTTTTCTCTGAAACGAGCTCCACTCCCACACAGCAATTTATTCACGAGGAAGAATGACAGATGATAGTGCCAATGCCAGTTGAGTACAGCTACATCAAACCAACGACCACCGAAGTAACTCACCTCTTCATTGCTCTCATTTCCATAAAAGTCATCTTCCATCTGAGCTCCTCGCCAAACCCCACTGATCTCTTCTTTTAAATCCACAGAAAATCTGCAGCTTTCTGATGACAGGTTCAAGGGCTTCCCGTGAGGTGCTGATCTAGGTTTTGAGGAATAGGTGAAAACATCCTCTTGCCGGTCTTCGGCTGCTTGCTTGTTTTCACATGCTTCAACATCACTCAATGCCAAGTTTAAAAAACTGTAAGATGTTTCACTATCCTTCGGCGACAGATTGCTGGAATCCAGTTGAGAAGTTTCTTTATCAGGGAATATCCACTCATCTGTAAATAAAGGGGGAGGGGGGAGAGAGAAGCAACACAGATGGTAACTGTTTCTATATAAAAATGTATCTTTCAGGAAAATTATCAAGCAAACGTTGAGTGCTGTTTGAGAAATAAAATGGAGATTGTAAAAAGTCATAAAACGAAGCTATAACATTACTACAGAATATAAGTGGATGTCTTAAACGAAGGATGCAGAACCTATGGCTCTCCAGGTGTTCTTGACTCACAACTGAACATCATTTCTAGCCAGATTGAACCTGGTGTTAGTACTGCATAATGCAGGACACAGTTATTTGTTGAAGCATTTCCTCACTTATCAATTGATCTAGACCCTGTAGTCAGTGATGTGCAGGGCTCTTCTCATTGCCCCATGGGTAGGCAGCATCTACTGTACATGATAGCCTCTGTTACACCCTGACTATGGAAATCTTCAACTCTTGGAGACAGATGGGGACAACTTTACTGGGCTCCCATTGTCAAGTTAAGACACATTTGTTCTCCTGAAGTTTTGGAGAAAATTAATCAGTGCTGTCTAACATTCCAGGTCGTTCTGTGTTTTATTAAATATTTGATTCATTGTTGTATTTTATCGTGGCTTCATGCCAAATGTTGTTGTACTATGTTAGAAAAGGCCCTGAGATCAGTGTGTGTGGTGAAATCCAGGTCTATAAATCTGGTAAATAAATTAATAAATTAATATCTTCTGTGCACGAAGTATATGGTCAGCTAGCAAGTTATTTCCCTCCACATCTGCCCAGCTTTGACATGTTACCTCTTGTTCCACCACATGCACCCTGCCTCCATAAACAAACCCCTTTCTCTGTACACCTGGCCCCATCCACTGTTTTGTGTCTTTGTCATGCTGGACTAAGACAAAAGCTTTGTTACGGGCTTATCTATATAAATAGCGCCCGATTCCTTAAAAATTCTATGAAGTGCTTCCTCTTCAAAGGAGTCGAATGTGCCAACCTCTACATTCGGCTCCACACACCCATGTCCAATTTATATTTGAATCTCAAAAGTGCAGCTTTGAGCTGGCATGAAAAAATGCAGGAATATATCCATTTCACCAGATTCCCCCTGCAAGCAGGTAGTACTAATCTTCTTGTTTTAAAACAAACATAAAGCCAATGAAATGGATTTAAAGATTGACTGTGCTAGATAAACATGGGATGGAGCTGTTTTACCATCGCATTGTTAAATTATACTTTACTGTTTGAAATTATGTTAGGGGGAAATGTCAATGGGATTGATTAAGGGGGATCTCAAACAACATCTAGGGAAAAGAAGAACTGCTCAAGTATTCATCACTCCCTTATCTTCGTTAGATGAAGCACTGTGCGGCTTGGTCACTACAGTTTGGAATTCCCTAGCTCCATAAACCAATATTACCCACCAGCAATAGGGTTTTTTGTGTGTGTGTGTGGGGGGGGAAGAGATCACATAAAATACTAAACTGGAAGTTGCATTGCAAAAGCACCATGACCTGCTGCTAACAGTAAGGGAGAAAAGAGATACCGGTAACACTGTCACTGAGCCTGAGTGACACAGCACAGGTAAAACAGAGATTTCCACTGAAAATTGCATTCCAATACAGAGGTCTCTCCCTGCACAGGAATAGTTATCCCAGTTTGTGACATCATGATGCTCAGCACTGCTCATAGGAGCCAACTCCTAGAGGCTGGGGTCCCTTTGTCCCCCAAATAAAATACTTGAGGGGGCTATCCTCCCTAAGTCGATGAACACGGGCATTCAAATGGCATGTACGTGCCGTATCATGCGAACAATTATGTAGAGTGGGGCTTACCTGCTCCCCCCAATATGTTATTCAAGTTGGCATCCCTGGCACTGCCCCAAGCCAACATTAGCCAGATGGTGAGGACACGCCATCTGAGAAACACATCTGATTTCTGACATTTATTTTTTTTTAAAATAATTTTTATTAATTTTCCAAACATGTATTAAAAACAAACAGTAAAACACAACAAAACATACAAACAAATAAACATGGATAATTTCATAAACTCATTTTCCTTCACCTTATTTCCCGGACTTCCCCATACCTCCCTTTTTCTGCATCCTTATTTTTTCCTTTTGACAGCAACCCTCCATTTAATTAATTAACTCATCTTCTTTATAATTCCCTTAAATTTATGATTTACAGCTGCAATTCTCTGTTTCTTAACACCATAACATCTCAGCACTCCTCAATGTTACAACAATTTTTAAGGTATATTTTAAATTTCTTCCAATCTTCTTCCACTGTCTCGCTCCCCTGGTCACGGATTCTGCCGGTCATCTCTGCCATTCCCATGTAGTCAATCACCTTCGCTTGCCATTCTTCCAGAGTGGGTAGCTGCTGCGTCTTCCAATACTTTGCCAGAAGAATTCTTGCTGCTGTGGTAGTGATTTCTGACATTTATATTCATTTCAATGGCACCCTCTTTGCAAAACGAAGAGGAAGCTGGGGTTTTGCACCATGCCCTATGTTCACTTGGCAATGCAGATTCTCTTTCATTCAGTAGTTAAAGAAGCAAATGGTTTGGAAAATGGGTGGTGGTAGTCTTTTCTCTCCCTTTTAAGGCAAATATTTTGAGCAGGAAGATACACTTAACCCAGGGGTATTACGAAGTGAAAAAAGAAGATAGCATGTAGGATTGTAGAATGCGATCTCACACCTGTTACACAGCACAGCAACTAATGTGACCTGTAGTCAGTATATACTTGTTTACAAGTGAACAAGATGAGTGTTCTAGAACAAACTAAATCCTATTATCTCTCAGCCATGAATTTACTGGAATTCTTCCACTGGAAAAAAATAAATAAAATGTTTCCATATCAATTGTAATGAATAATTTCGTGTATCTTCTTAGGAAAAATATGTAAATTACAGTGTAATCACAGTATTGCAGCAAACAAGATAAATACAAGAATGATCACCTAAATGTCTAATTAGTTTCTCTGCAGAGTCAGATTTATGCTGGAGCTTCTAATTGCAGCCTAACATTTTAATGAAGGTTTGAACATGGCATAAATAAGACTGACGAATGATACACAATATTCATTCATTTTATTTCTTCCTTTGCCCCAAAACAATTTCCTTTTTGTAATGGAATTGCACACCTGCTTTGGAAGATATGTTTATGTATTCTCTGCCACCTATCTAAAGAATTTCAATTCTAAATTTGAAAGGACCTAATACAAAGCAATATGGATAATCTCTGGATTATGGGTCAAACCAAGATGAAAACCAGGACTGAGACAAATATATATTCTTCAATACTCTGGCATGACTTTTACATCCCCCTGACTTCTCCAAACTTCAGTGTGTTCCTTAGGAATGTTCTTTTATTGCCTAATATGCTGTCCTGTTATTTATCTCTGAAACAACAACACTCACAGGATTCTTAGGATTCTAACATGAGACTGCAAATTAATTCAGGCATTTTCTGTTGTCCGTATATTATTCACTATAGACATATTGACTGCAGTATCAAGGGAAGAATATCAAGGAACAAAAAGCTAGTTCCTTAGGGGTTTTCCTTTCGGGCCTGAGCCATGCTCCTAAAAGAAATGGACTTATACACTTTACATCAATTGTGGGTAACCTTTGCTGAATTACAACCCCCATAATCCTTGGCCCTTAGACATGCTTGCTGGGGCCAAGTGGAACTTCAATCCAACAATGTCTGGAGGCCCAAATGTTCCCCACACCTTTGTAAGCGACGGGAGGCAATACCAAGAGTGGTAAATGGGAGAAGCAGTAAGAGATTAGATAAATCAGGGTTCTTCCATGTTTCTAAAAGTCCTGCAACTCTGTGTGTGTGTGTGTGTGTGTGTGTGTGTACTTTTAGGCTGTAGTTTGGAGATTTGGGCATGTACCTGACTTGTCTTTCTGCTTTGTGAGGGCAAGGAGGTGTTGGAGAGGAAGGAATCACATTAGGAAAGCTGTGGGGCTAAGGATGGGATGGATCACAGATCATAAGGTTTTTGGCAGTATGATGCCTGCTTCATACATTTCTGAGTCTTGGACTCCAGTTGCACTGATAACCAGAAGCTCCTTTCAACAATTCTATCAACTCAAAAGGCTGCAGACCTTCTAATCAGATTGGAACTAGTCCCTACTGCTGAGGCTTACATAATCTTGAGATGAGACCACCACAATGAATTCTACAAACGTTGGCTAGAGAACTATCATGAATTTGTGCATACCTATTTCAGAGGCACTGAAAATGTTAACCTGGTAGAGGTTGAAAAAGTTAACATTAGGCTTTCAGCAATTAAGATTTTTCAACAGACTTTAATTTGAATTATCAAATATTTCTGTTAGTTGTTCTGAGACTTTGACAAGAGCCAGGTTATAAATTTAAGTGAATAACAGAAGGTGATGCTTCGCTTGGAGCAGAGGTGAAGTGGGTCAGGAAAAGCTGAGGGGAAAATCCCGTGCTGCCAGCAATGTCCTAATTTCTTTGTGTCTCCATTTTGCCTCTTCCTGCCTACCATGTGATGAATCTGGAGTGTTTCCTATTGTACACCTTTGCACACCTTAGTTGATTTAGGTCATTATAAAGCTGACCAGAGTGACTAGGAGCTAACAATGTGGTGGCACAGGTTTGATTGGTATGTACAGGAGACCAATTGTTCATTAAGTAGCTGTCTCACTGCCCAGAAGACAAACTGCACGGCAAGCTAACCACTTTGGCTTTTTATTTTTAAAAATGAAACCTGCTCCATAGAGATATCGAATGTAATAGTATGAAAGGCAGACATTAGTAACTAACTAGGACAAGTAAAAAGTTTCACTATTCTTGATGATTGGGTTCTTTTGGTGCTTAAATTTAATAAGGGCTTACAAGAATAATTTATTTTTAGTTCTTTCTCTTTAATCATGAAAGCATGGGAGTTCTTTATTTATATGCACTGCTCTGGTAGTCTTCGTTTAATCCTGCAAATCTTTATCAATGCTCTGAAGCAAATTCTGTTGCAGGGTGTTTGATTTCCATAATCCCTGCAGTGCAGACATTTATGTGAATTGCTTTAGAATCCTTTGAAACAAAGAGATTTATTCTTTTATTCGGGGACAGCAGAGATGCTAAAGAACATAAAAATTGTGCTAGAGCACTGACTATCTCAGGGCCTTTTCGGCCATCACTTTTTGAACATATTCTTCCACAACCACTCTCTGTTACTAGGGCAGGAGGGTGTGGCTGCATAGTATGTAGAGATAAACACACAAACACACACACACACACACACACACACAAACGTTTTGGGTTGCAACCTTAAGCAAATTTGGAAGGAATATACATAAAAGCCTGAGCCTAAAAAACAGGGTTCGTTCATAACTGCATGCTTATCCGGTGATGATTTGCATCTGTAATTACATCATCACAGACTTCCCTTTCACTTTGCTCATTTCATCCTTCTCATCAACTGAGGGATCAGTTCACCCAATCAGCTGCCTATTTTTTTATGCTGATTAATGTGCTTTTCATAAATTAAGAGTTGTATATGCATGTGCAAACCATCCAAGGCAGAGCATAATGTGATGCACATGCATGTATGAAGAAAACGTGGGATACCTATCCAGAGCAGCAGCATATAGTTCTCAAGGGATCTTTAAGAGCTAGTGTGGTGTAATAAATAAGAGTGCTATGAGATCTGGGTTCAAGTCATGAAGCTCACTGGCGATCTCTCAGTGTAAGGTACCCTCACAAGGTTAGAACAGAACAGAACAGAACAGTAGAACTATAGAGCTGAAAGTCCAACCCCCCTGTCGATGCAGGAAAATCCATTAGTAGAGCATGTTTGATAGGGAATTATATAAGCCTTTGCTTGAAAACCTCTAAGGAAGGAGCATTCCCCACCTTCTAAGGCAATCTCTTCCACTGCTGAACAGGCCATGCCATCAGGAAGTTCCTCCTAAAGTTTTGTCTAAATCCTTTTTCTTGTAATTTGAACCCACTGGTTCAGGTCCTACCACCTGAAACAACAGAAAACAAGTTTGCTCCATCACTAGGTGATAGCCATTTGAAGATGGTTGTCATATCATCTTCATTGTCTATTCTCCATCTAAACATATCCAACTCCTTCAACCTTTCCTCACTGGACTTCATCTTCAGGCTTCTAAGCATCTCTCCCTTCGCTGGATACTTGCAAGAAAACATCTCCCAACAGCACATCTCCTCCAGTGTTCAGTTTCCCTGCCTAATATTTCCACTCGGATGTCTCATTGCTATCTCAGATTCAACATGCTCAATAATGATTTTCCTTTGCTCAGTCTTTTCATATCCATTGATAATGTTACCATTCTCTCTGTTGATTGGACACACAGCCTGCCCATCACCTTTGACTCTATTCCCTCATCACTTCTCACATTCATTCAGTTGTCAAGTTGGGTTGTACAATGTTTTAAACAATGGGTTTGCTCTTCTCTGTCCCCCAGCAAACGGTCTGCTTCCTGTTGCGACTGTCTCCCACCTGGACTACTGAAACCTCCTCTACTCTGGCCTTCCTGTCTCATACCTCAGTACTCTCATCTCTACACAAAACTCAGCTGCCAAAAGAATGAATCTGTTCCTTCTGCCAGACCATGTGATGGTCCTATTCAGATCCCTTCACTGGCATCCCTTTCCCTTCCGTATCAAGCACACTCCATGTCTTAATTTTTAAAGCTATCTGGGATGTATATTCATCCTTGCTTCTTGTTTTCTTCTCTATACTCTTCCAACTCTTCTCATCCTTCACCAACCTTAAACAACTTCACCCAAATTCTATGGGGCCCTTTGCTTATTCCCAGCTGAAATCTATCTATATCTATATGCATTTCCCATATTTTTCTCCCACTACCCTTGTCTCTTCTTCTGCTGTTCCTCCACAGTCTATTTTAAATTGTAAGTTCACTGGGAACAGGGACCAATCCATCTTGCTTATGTAATTCTGTACTGTATCATGTACAAGGATGGCATGGTAATAATAGTAATATTACGGCACTTCCACTTTCTTGATTGATCTTAGGTGCAGAAATCTAAGGACTGGTTCACACTGTCACTTTAAAAAAATGTCTTGAAAGCCGAGCTTTGCAAATTACAAGTTGCAGTTTTGTGGAACCACTACTACGGATTTTACCAACTGAATACTTCATAGGCTTATCATGGGAAGATGTGACCAATAGTCTTACATAGATGGGAATGCACAATTGATAATGTTCACATCTAGAATATGTCTCATATTCTAATGTAGCATAAAACAACATGAGCAAAGCAGATAAAAGTGTTATTAGAAAATGATTATGGAACTAAGTTAGCACAATTATCCTAGAAGCACATTAGGTCAAGGGGAAAAGCATGACGAGCTGGGAAGGAACAAGCACTGTTTACAGCAATTAGAGCTATCAATATGATTGTTAATTATTGAAGCTATCACAACGAATCAACGAACATTTTAAACATCACATATACAAAAAACCTTCTTGCAGCCGCATGTCACCCTTTACAGTTATCACATTAGTGCCTTACCCTTGTCCAGTGACATCGGACTTGTGTTGTCAACATTTTCTTTGTTTCCTTGATCTAAAGCCATATCAAGGGGCGAGGGAGATCGTTCAGAGCTGATGATGTCTTGAATTGGTTCTCTTCCCTTTTCCAAAACTGGCATTTGACATGATCTGTTAGTTCTGATGCTGCCAGATTTTGTTACCTTTCAGGGAGGAAAAAGAGTTCTTAAGAGAAGGCAAAGTATCAACAATTAAACCAGCTCAAACTTAAAAGCACCAGAAAATATTTTAAAATAGTAAAATATATCAAAGTCACTTTGTGTCTGTGCTCGTGCATGGGCACATACTTTTGCTAAGCACACAACACCCACAAAATCTCAGCAATACTATTACTGCTATTGGTGTTGATAGTACTTCAAGCAAAGAAATTTTGATAGTACAGTGGTACCTCCGGTTGTGGACGGGATCCGTTCCGGAGCTCCGGTTGGATCCCAAGGTTTCCGCAACCGGGGGTGCCTGTTCTGCGCATGCGCACGGTGTGATAGAGTGCTACTGTGCATGTGCACACAGCGAAACCTGGAAATATACATCCAGGTTTGCCGTGTGCGTATCCCAAAGGATATGTAACCACATGTTGGTGGCACTTCAAACAAAGCAATACTTCACACTCACGTGTTTTGAGCTCTCTATTGTACTTCTACATTTAATTGTATTGTGAGAAACCTGGACCTTAACTGTGGCTGAGGATTCCTTTTCCCAAACACTTTTGCCTACTGTGTAACGTGTCTCCTGGTCAGCTTGTTTTTCTCTCTCTTCAAGATGGAGGCTGAACCGGCTTTGTGGCATGTTTCAAAGGCTTGGCATAGTAAAGAAGCCAATTTACAACAGGGACAGGAGGTAGTACTCTCGCTCTGGATCTGTTTTAGATTGTTATATTTCAAAAATAAACTATTGAAAGAAACATAAAAATAAGTCCACTGGCAAAAAAAATTGCATCTCCATTAAAAATATGTCCAACTATGTTAAGGGCTCTGGGCACATTACACAATCTAAATTATACATATCTCCTACTTCTTTCTGCCTCCTTTCTCCCTCTTCCAATATTAGAACTATTGTTGAGATAAATCTTATACAGCTATTTAAAAAAGATTGCTAAGTATATGCTTCCCAAATTTTCATGTCCTTCCATAGCCAGCCCCTTAAGGGCAATTCTTACTTCATTTCACAACCAGCCCTAACCCAGAATATGCCTGGAACATATACTCCCACAAGCCTGTTCCCCCATGATGTGCCATAAAATAATAGAATTGTTGAGTTGGAAGGGACCATGAGAGTTATCTAGTCCAACCCCCTGCAATGCAGGAATCTTTTGCCCAACATGGGGCTTGAACCCACGGTGCTAAGATTAAGGGTCTCATTCTCTACCAAATGTGCTATCCCAGCCATCCCCCTGATAAAAATGTTGAGTACTGACACAAAATGGTTGCTATGGGCAACAACAAAAAGGTGATGGTACCCTGTACAATCTTCTTACAAAAAAAGAAAGAAAGAAAGCACTGCTTCCTGATATTATGACTTGACACATACTGTTTCCTTTGCTAACATATATCATCTCCATCAACAGATATTATATATCTTAGAATTGTTTCCTTATTAATGGCACCGGTTTTGTTGTGTCAATTTAATGTACAGATTACTAAAACTCAGGGACTTCCAATGAAGCTCACTGTTTAAAGAAACAGGCTTCCTATATAGGCAAATGATTGGCCATTAGGAGAGCGGGATGCTGGACTATATGATGCTTTGGCCTGTTTCAGCAGGATCTTCTTAAGTTTGTTTTCCTACCTCCCCAGATGCCCTTGAGCTGAATCTTCGGCCTGAAGGTGGAGGCGGCCCAAGAACCTTAGATCCAAATGCAATGTGGGATACGTCTTGATTTTTACTGTTTCGTGTCGTGGCCAATCCCCGGTTTAATAGATGGTCTGCTAAAAAAATAAGGCAGACAATTAATACTGGCATTGTGATCATACTGATTTATTAAGAGTGGTGCATATAATTTAACAAGGAGAAATCATATGTATCGTCATAAGCATCTACTCTGGTTAAACCACGCCAAAGAAAATCTCAAGTGAAGTTCTTGCCATACAAGTCAGGTGATGTGACAAAAACGTGCTGTGAGCAAGGACTGGGCACAGCAACTGGCAACGGGCAATAATTTAGAACTCAAACTGTATCTTTGTGTTTTGAATTGAACATGTTTGGCTATTCATTTATGTCACTAGTGGGAAATCAGCTTTAAATGCACATTTAAACAGAAAAAGAGAAACACTTAGATATACCATTGGATAGCTTGCTGAAGATGTATCAAATGCTGAGTATACTGTCAAACACTGGCCATCAAAAGAAGTATTAAACTTTGAAGCTTAAATAAATTAAATTTCCTTCTAAAATATGTTTATTGTGTAAGACAGAGGGTGCTATTCAACCAGGATCCCTACCAACCAAAAGAAAGAATATGTCAGTAGAATGGAGGGAGGCAATTTTTGACTATTCCTTCCTTCCTGTAGCAATCCATGTACCCATCACATCTTTTCCAGTCCCCCAAATCTCGAGAGCAGAACAAGATGGGGCTTAAAAAGGGAGGGGAAATTTCCAAAGGATGCTTCCCTCCTTGTTCTGTAGACAGGTGCCTTCATTCAGCAGAGGGATACCAACCAGACACAACTTGGAAAGAAAAACCTGCAAAGTGATTAATACTCTGTTTATCAATGGAAGAAAAATGTTGTTGTGCATTTTTAAACAATTTGCTGTTGTTTAGTCATTTAGTCGTGTCCGACTCTTCGTGACCCCATGGACCAGAGCACGCCAGTCACTTCTGTCTTCCACTGCCTCCCGCAGTTTGGTCAAACTCATGCTGGTAGCTTCAAGAACACTGTCCAACCATCTTGTCCTCTGTCGTCTCCTTCTCCTTGTGCCCTCCATCTTTCCCAACATCAGGGTCTTTTCCAGGGAGTCTTCTCTTCTCATGAGGTGGCAAAACTATTGGAGCCTCAGCTTCAGGATCTGTCCTTCCAGTGAGCACGCAGGGCTGGATAGGTTTGATCTTCTTGCAGTCCATGGGACTCCCAAGAGTCTCCTCCAGTTTTAAACAATAGCACAGACTTATTTCACCTTTTCAGTTCAGGGTTGACACTTGATTTGATTCCACCTTCCCATAGTCCTTACCTAACATGCCACAAGCTTCTTTTCTTCTCCTATTTTCTGACATGAATGCCAAGCTGGCCATCAAGTTTCCCCACACATTACTAGTGGAACTGAGCTGTACTTGCCCTCAGTCCCTCCTCCCATGCTTTAGTAGTGAGGAAGATGCCATACTAAAAGAGAGACAATAAGAGGCATTTTGCTAGGCCCAAGGGACACTGGCAAGCCATCATTAGGCTTTCCTCCTGAGATTCCAATTTGCTCCCTGGTGATGGAAACAGGACTGGCTGATATTACCCACCAAATTTGTTTCACAACTTTTCTTCATCTCATGAAAGTGAATAATCTCCCACTGTTTGATGGCTCTTGCCCATACAAGAAAGACTGGAGATTCTAAGGAGTGGTGGAATAGCAACCTCAGGAGAGGTGACCTGTTTCAGCTAAGCATCGGCTTCTTTAATTTTCTGACTGCTTTGTGATGTTCTCTGCCCCCCTATCAATTATAAAAACAGATTAACATGAATAGTTTCCATTCATGATCACATTAACTGACTGCAATTAATTGGCTACATCAACACGTACAAGTCATCTGCTATATTGAGCAACAAGGTATAGTTAAAAGCAAAGTAAAAAGTAATTTGGGCTTTTGATTAGGACTGGAACAACATAAAAAAGAAAGCTTAAAAGATTTTTAAAAATAAATAAATCGAAGCTTAAACTTATCAAAGTGCTCACTTCCAGAAAGGCCTGATTTGGGGTCTTTGAAAAGAGAGGGAATGACAGTAGCAGAACTCATCTCCTATTCATAGTGCAAGGTTAAAACTAAAGATTGGATTAAACTCTGAAGCTCCAGGCATTTTATTTTCTGTGGTTAACAAAAAAGAAAAGAAAAAAATAACTTGGCATAGGTCAGGAATATACCCACTAATTACTTTACCACTTTACCAAGGGCTATAGTTTAGATGGTGAAACCTGGGGGTTCACTGCCTAATTTCCTTTTTAAACATAGTCATTTTTTAATCTTTAGATTCACCATTCTCATTAATTTAGCTATTGAATTATAATATCTTCTTTTACCGTAATGTTTCAGGAAATAAGTATAGGTATTTTTGGATCTGCAATTATACTGTCATTATATTTACGGATTATGATAATTTGAGTTTGGGGAAAGGCTGAATAAAAATTAGATTAGCCAAATATGTTTTTGTTTTGTATTTCTTTCTGAAAACTGTAATCTTTTTGAGCTATGGTTGCACTCATGGCTTCTCTTTACTACATGCCAACACTTTGGGAGGTTGTGTATCTGTAAACTTGAGTATTTGTGCCATCTTGTACTTAAGCACGCACCTAGTAGCTATAGGCGAGAAGGAACTGCATGCAGGCAACTAACTAATGGAATTCCATGCAGACAAGCACCTTTCATTGCTTGCAGAGTTAAATGCAGGCAGATCTGACTGGTAAAATTGGCTATGGCTGATAACTTCTATAGCCGATTTACAATTTTAAACAAATTTCAAAATCAAAATTGGAACTATAATTATCAAGCTATGGATACTTTGATTAATATTAAACTATTAGGAGTTATTCCTATATAAAATTATGAAGGCCTGACAATCACAGAAATCACAAAAGTGGGGTATTTTTATAGCTTAGCAGCTCATCGATGCTAGTGCAATGCATGTATTCCTAGAAATGCTCTCCATGAAGGAAGCATACCTATTACTAGCTAGCAACGTTTTAAACCAACTTAAGTAAGCTTTCCATTTCAGTTTTTAAGGCATTGGTTTGCTGTTCATCAGAAAGGATGTGGTGAGAATGTGCAAATGCTAAAAAATAATAATCAATAGACCAGGATTCCTTTGGTCCGATGAAACAGTAAGAACCAACGACACAAAAAATGGACCCTCTTTTAATAGCACATTATCTTTTGGCATATTACTGGACGCAAACGGATACACTTTGGACATGCCTTTGCACATGTAGCACTAAGTACCATGTAGCCCCAAAACATTGTAGGGTCAGAGATAGTAAGCCCACTCCCAGTGGCAAGAACTGATGCAAGAAAAACATCAGATAGGTCTAACCATCTAGCCATTGACAGAGAGCATGATATCTTTTCTGGATCTGCTAACCAACCTTGGTCTTCCAAAAGCCCTGAAGATAATGCTTTGAACGTCTCAGTTAAGTTTTTCTTGCTTGTGCATGCCACCCTTTATTTCAGAGGTAGAGTTTAAACTATAATGAGGTCTAGAAATGTTGGGTGTCACAACAGCAGAAGGCTTTGTCTAGAGCAGGGATAGAGAACCATTGACCCTTCAGATGCTGGACTTTAACTCCTATCAGTCCCAGTCAGCATGGCCAACAATGATGTGAGCTGTAGTCCAACAACAACTGGAGTCAAACGTTCTCTGTTCCTTGTCTATGACAAACAGGAGCCAAACTGGCAAGTGCCCTTATTAGTATTACTGGGCTTTATTGTGCAAGGCACCTTCAATTAGGGGAAGCTGCTTTTCACGTGTCAGCCTTGGTGATTCTGGACTGACTCCTGTGCATCATCTTGAACATCTGAATGGTCCCTGAAATCCCAGTTTTTAAATCCATGGAAAACAAGCATAATGATATGATGTGCGGATGAGCAAACATGGATATAATATGCAGCACAAAGATATGCAGGATGGCAAAAAGGTATGCTATCAAAGAATGATTCACAATTAGAAGTGGACAGTATTGTGCACCTATGTAGAGTTAAAAGCAAGGGGGGGGAGCCTCAGAGCATTGCTTCTGTGGAAATAAAAGCACTCAGGCAAAGAGAGTGCTAATTTTTAAGTAAATTACCAGTTTTGATTTGTGCTTAGTGGACCACTACATCTTGTCATTAGCAAGTTGAACTGCTCAATTTAAGCAACCAGACTTGATTTTGTGTTCAATTAAACCACGGTCCCATTAATGGGGAGGGGGGTGCAGAATTACTTCCTACAGTCCTACATTGACTAACAGTCAGTACTTAATCTGGGCTGGGAATTGAAGGAATTAAGAGCGTAAAATTTTCAGTCAAATTACACACGCAATGATTAACTGGATACATGCTGGTTTTATTAATTTTGTTGAAAGCATTCAAAACACAGAATTGCTCTTCAACAGTATATCATTATATTTGTAATTCAGGGAAATTAGTTGTACACAATGAATTACAAACTTCGGTCTAGCAAATGTTACGAGGGGAGGGAGAGAATAGAAAACCTTTTTGTAAGGAAGTTGTGTTTTGTGTGTGTGTGTGCGCGCGCACACACACACACACAAGAGCAACACAATTTCCAGACATTTCCCCTTTGTCTTTGTGGATGTAAGAAGGGCAGAAATAAGACTTATGCCCCTATTATTATTTACACAGTGAAAGTAGGCAAATGTACGACTAAACATGGATGCTTAAATAACAGTAAGTAAGCGAATCTGTTTTCTCCTTTGACTGACTTTGCTTTGGCGTGACCTTTTTATGATCATTAGGCACCTTTCTGGCATGAGCTTTGGCGATCATAAAAGCGTTGTGCCCAGGCACCTCCAGGAGGCTGTGACTGCTGCTGCGGGAAGTGGTAAGCAAAGGTGCAAGGGAGGAGCAAGTGAGTGGGTGGGCAGGCAAATGGCGGTGGGATGATGGTGGTGGTGGGATGGGGGGCATGATGCATACTGGCACCATTTTTCATAGAAATGCAGCACTGCCCACAATGCTTGGCTGATGTCCTCCTCAGATTCCAATGCTGCATCCCAGGAGAGGAGAGTTGGGAGCCCAGCTTTCCCATCAGAAGCAGCTGTATCCTGGGATGGGGTGGTGTCTGCCTCCTCCTGCCTCTGTTCCCTGGACTCAGCCCTCCCTTAGGTCTTCCTTCTGTTCCCCTTCCCCATCTGTCTCAACCAGCCACTCCACTGCTGGTGGAATGCTTTTGCCTGGTGCCTAAATATATGTAATGATGGCACCAGGAAAGCTTCCCTTGTTCATACATTCATGCTGATTACTTGATTAATGGAGAATTATGTGAAGACTTCCGCATGCGAACAGACCATAACAGACCTACCACTACACATCGAACCTTTGTATCATGTAAAATGTAATCCACTGGTGCCAATTCACATGTTCAGCTGCTAGCCAAGAAGATGCATACATGTATGTGTGAAGCAGCATCCAAAATCGCTGTCCATGGTCCTTAAGCTTCTTTAGGGCATTGTCTATTTGCATACTGAAGAGGTCCTCAGTATCAAGGAAGAGAGCCTTGAGTCTGGCTCTGATGTTCTGTTCCAGGGAAGCATGGCACCATTACTTCTAAGACTTTGTTTATTGCTGGCATACTGAACTGTTGCTTGGCAAACAACTTGGGACTGTAACACCTTGATTCCTGCCTATGTCCACAACCAAATGAGAAACCATACATAGACACAACAGAGTGATTTAAAATCTTGCATATATGTAAAGAACAACACATCTATCTCTAATACTGCAGGCATTATATGAAAGAGTAAACAACTGTTATATACTCTTTCCCTTCCCAAATAACTCTCAATTATATATACTTCCAGATTATACTGACGTAATCCATCTTATTTTCCTAAAATGTAAAGTTCTTGGCAAGCAGAATGTACATTCTCTGCATCTGTATGGCACTGAAATTACTTAGATTGATGAAAGCCAATCCAAAACAATCGGTTTTTCAAGTTTGTTATCCCATTACCTTCTATTTGTAATCAGCAGAATCATTATCAGACACCAACTCTTGCTTTTGCTCCCATTCAAAATAAATGACCGATGGAGAAGACTAGGACCAGGGGGGAAAACCCCCCAGAAAAGTGCAAGGCCTGACTGGATGGTGTTTCATGAATTCAGAAAGCACTGACTCAGTACCCCACAAGTCCTAAAAGGTAAAGGTAAAGGTACCTCTGCCCGTACGGGCCAGTCTTGACAGACTCTAGGGTTGTGCGCTCATCTCACTCTAGAGGCCGGGAGCCAGCGCTGTCCGCAGACACTTCCGGGTCACGTGGCCAGCGTGACGAAGCTGCTCCGGCGAACCGGCACCAGAGCAGCACACGGAAACGCCGTTTACCTTCCCGCTAGAAAGCGGTACCTATTTATCTACTTGCATTTAATTGTGCTTTCGAACTGCTAGGTGGGCAGGAGCTGGGACCGAACGATGGGAGCTCACCCCGCCGCGGGGATTCGAACCGCCGACCATGCGATTGGCAAGTCCTAGGCGCTGAGGTTTTACCCACAGCGCCACCCGCGTCCCTTTGTATATATGTTGTGTATATATGTTACCCACTACCAAGGTAACTAAGGTTGCTGATGCTTACTGCATTATTGTATACAAGCTTATGAAATAGAAATTATCCTATGCTCCCTGGCTTGCATGGGTTCATAGTAATGCACATTCACTTAATAAAGGACATGTTTAAGTTGAATAATCAGCAAGGTAGCTTTTATCTCATGCATAAAAAATTAATAGAGTCATTAGAAGTTCTCAATGAATCTACCCCAATGAACTCAACTCCCCTTGCCCCCCTACATTTTATGTTATGCATCATAGTGTCCTTGAACTTTAAGATAAAAGACATTGGGATTCTTGGGTGTAGTCTTGAATTTTTATTCAAACATATAATTAAATGTCTTGTAAAATTAAAGTAGAACAGGTTGTCACACAGAGGATGAAATAAAAATAAAAAATAATTATACCCCTAAGTGGTTATCCAAAATTAAATGAACTCTATTACCTATTTTGTTTTCATTATATTAGGCACTGGAGTAGCGCCACAGTATTTTAAATTAAATTATTCACCTTTCTTATTTTGTTGTAGTTCGTATTAATAAAGATCTTTTCTCATTACAGAATTTAATGGCAGGGTTTCTTCTTTTGGTCTTGAAAGGAGACAACGCTTTGTAAGTATTCCCCTCCCCCTTTAAATGGAATCTGTGAGCAAAATTTGGTACGTGACTTAGAGACTACATAAGTGACCATTTCCTTTTAAAGGACACATTCAAAGGACAATTTTAAAGAACAGGTGACTCCAATAACTTCGTATTATGCTTGTTTCCTGCTTTTCCAAAACAGCCCATCAGCAATTTGCTATACAGTGTTACTTCGGTTTAAGAACTTAATTTGTTCCGGAGGTCCATTCTTAACCTGAAACTGTCTTAACCTGAAGCACCACTTTAGCTAATGGGGCCTCCCGCTGCCGCTGCACCGCCAGAGCACAATTTCTGTTCTCATCCTGAAGCAAAGTTCTTAACCCAAGGTACTATTTCTGGGTTAGCAGAGTCTGTAACCTGAAGCGACTGTAACCCAAGGTACCACTGTACTGAGCCCCAAGGCTGGCCTAGCACATTTTGCCACTAAGGCAAAACAGAAAGTGCCCCTCCCCACCCCCTGCTGCCACTGACACCTCCTCCCCTGCCCCCCCCCATGACTCCTCTGCTGCTCTCCACCCCCCTGCACCTTAGAAAAAGGGGAGAAAAAAGAGGCTACCCAGGGAGCCGAAGACAGTAGCGGTGAGAGGGGTGGAGGAGGTGGCAAAGGGGGAGGAGTCAGCAGACAGTGAGGCATAGTGACCAAGGAGGTGTTGGCAAGGGGGGAGGAGTATACCAGAAGGAGCGTCTCCATCCCCAGTGTTCAGCCCGGACACTGAGGTCCAGCTCCGAGGGCCTTCTGGCGGTTCCCTCTCTGTGAGAAGCGAAGTTACAGGGAACCAGGCAGAAGGTCTTCTCAGTAGTGGCACCCGCCCTGTGGAACTCCCTCCCCCCAGATGTCAAGGAAATAAACAATTATCTGACTTTAAGAAGACATCTGAAGGCAGCCCTGTTTAGGGAAGTTTTATTGTTTCATCTTTTACTGTGTTTTTATTATCCTGTTGGAAGCCACCCAGACTGGCAGGGGAAACCCAGCCAGATGGGAGGGTAAAAATAAATTATTATTATTATTATTATTAGCATTAAGGAGTGGGGGAGGAGGTGGGCCATCCCTCCCAATGGTTTCAAGCCTGCCAACCCTGGGGCAAGGGCTTCATTTTGCCTCATGGGTGGGGCAGCCATGCTGGGCCCTCTTTTCAAAGTTTAAGAACCATGGATAAGCACACTGCCTTATTACATTGCCGTATCTGAGCAAAGCTATCAGAAGGGCTTACAGAAAGATGTATTTATGCAATGCCCTTTTTCTCTAATAGACCAGCCGAAGTCCATCTTCTTTTATGAGGTTTTTTCCCCTCTTCCTGGCCTGGTATCAGCAGGTGCTCAGAACTGGTACAATTAATCCTTCTATAAAACCCCCATTTCACAACAGTTCATCATACCATAACTTAACCAAGAAATGGAACCTAAGGCCAGGCTATGCAGTTCATGGGGTGAGGCTATGCAGACAGAGACAAAATCAAAGGCTCCTACTAAGTTACTTTGCTCAGAGCAAGTGCATGTAATCTGAGATCCAGTTTGGGGGAGAGGGACAAAACCTATCACATGCTTTGAAGTTTCCAGGGTGAAATACAGGTTTAGTGCGTGCATGCGGGCACGCACACACACACGTTTTCTCACGTGTAATTGAACGCTCCAAGGAGAAGAAAGCATAACACATGGAGATAATGGCATAAGCCCAGTGGTAGCTGTTGGGTTCTATGTACTTTCTCATTCAGAGGGGAACATGTAAACTGGTCCTCATGTAAAATCCTTAAGATTGCTAACACTTGATTCTAGCAGCAGGACCTGCATGTAACATAATGTCTCTAAACAGGGGGAATGCACCAAGAAGCAGCTTTGATGCTCTTACGAGGCCACCAACATATCCAATGAGCACAAATTAATTTTACAACCTACCTAATTCCGGTGAAGTTAAGAGCCGACCTCCACATTTTTGTTCTGCTGGGCGTAGCTTGTTCATATTCAGCAGCTGGGTGACTTGCGGCACATCTGAATTTAACTGACAGGCTCGAGGAATCGTATCTGTTGGCCCATCAGCTGTGAATGCAATATCAATACAAGTCTGAGTAAAATACAGCGAAGGCTTCACTTTTCTACACACCCGGCAGCTGAAACAAACAAGGGAAACAATATAGCCTATTTTCATTGATATTTTAAAAACCCTCTAGCCCCCCATAGTTACAAAATGAAGAGTCTTCTAGCTGCCTCAAGGGTTATGAACCAGAAAACAAAAGCTCACTTATTCATTTGATGTCCAAACCATCTGATTCTTAATTCAATGGCATGATTTTTTCCAGGCAAGACTCATTATTTCTGAACTGGGAGTTAGCAGTACTAGAGATCTTCATTACCTCATCTGGACAGGAGGACTTAATCAATAACTAATGTGCCAGAGCCCCCAGCATTCATTTAATAATGCCACAAGACCTCAAACTTAACCTTTTCTTACCAATAGGTTTTTTAAAAAACACAACAACAACAGCATATTGTCTAAAACAGAATCACCTCAAATAAGAGATGTTCCCTCAGTCAATCATGCATTAAAAAGTATGAATGAAGAGACATGTGGATTGAGTGCAGACAGGTCCAGGATAAAAGTGAAGTATTCCTGTGTAAGGTAAACAAAATGGTTCCTGGACTATGTGCTACAGCTGGGCTCCTTAAAGGCTGTAGTTTGGACGTCCCCAATAGAAGTTAAGCTTTCAATAGGTAGAGTATAGACGATGTAAGAGCCGTCTCTTTAGAGGGGGATGGGACAACATGATGATCTCAGTCCTTCTAGTCCCATAAATCTACAACTGCAATCACCAGCTGTTATATCTTTTCTAGGAAGTATAATTGCAGATGCTTGATTGCGGTTAACTTACTGTTAAAATAATTTATGTGTGAGGTTAAGAATTAATCAGATTTCAGGGTGGATGGGCTTTGCAATTAAACTCCACCTGCAATTAGCTGGCCTCACAATTTAGATCATGGCTGAGATTCAGTTACTATCTAATTTCATGTGGTTGTTACATCTGAGAAAGCTCTGTAACCTATTACACAAGTGGCAGAACGGGATATTTTGGCCCAGTTAATGCATCACCGAGTTGCTGCAATGTCGCTCCACAGCGTTAACAATTCCCACTGCAGCCGCTCCCCATGCCAGCATCAAGCCAACTGCCATGCCGTCAGGGATATACAAGTATTCGTCTGTTGCTCATTTCAAGCAATCTAGAAATTAAACAGCATAATTTGCTTTCTAAACAGACTGTATTACTTTAATGCCTGTACTGGTTTTTTTGTCCAAGCCTCCCAGACATTCATATTATCTGACAAGCCCAGCTTCCACAGCAGTGTGTTGATATCAGTAATGGAGACTCAAAACTATAAAGGAAGAACAAAACACATTTGGAACACAGCGTTCTACATAATCAGCCACATTGCTGGAAAACAAACAAAGAAAGAAAGAAGATTCCCAAACGGAGAAGTGAAGCAACGCTAGGAGAGGCACCGGCTGAGTACGCCAATCATTTTGTATCACAAGGCATATCAACTTCCCAGTTTAATGAGAAATGAAAAAAGCTGAAACAAAAAATAAAATAAAATGTGGGGATGTAGCTCAACCTCCAGAGAAATATCCAAAGAGCTTTGCAGAAAGAAATCTACTTATCCACCTGATTCCCAGTTCCGTGGATCGCCCCAAAGGCTCACCGCTCTAATCCTGATTAAATGAACAGCAAGTTTCCAACTTCAGTGCAAGATAATTAGCCGGCATTGTTTCACAAATAAAACCATCTTCTGTACCCTCCTTTTGTAAAAATATCCAGCCATAACTGTGCTTTCCCCCCACACTTTCCTTTCGAGGAGTGTAAAAATTGGGTCCTCTGAGTATATTTAGGCATATCTTCCTGATGGGAAGATCACACATTTATTTATTTAAAGATAAATAAATTTACAGGTTTATTTCTGTAAAGAACATTTATACTCAAATAATTTGAGATGGCTTCTCCATTTCCTGGCAAAAGTTTCTATCAGTTCAAAATTCAGTTCCGGGCTGGCCCAATGGGACAAAGTCTTTTCCCCAGCCCCTAGATCAAGAGAATGCCTCCAAGAAGATGTGGCTATTGTTTCAGGATGAGGTGAGTGGTTCGAACAAACACTGCATGGTGGGATCTGGGATCCCACTCCTGGGAAACCCTGACACCGTGCAAGTGATATTGGCAGAGTTCAATGGGAAACACTCTTACATAAATCTCACTGATACATGGGACTTGAGAAAGAGCAGGAAATGTTCCCAGTTGTGTTTTTGATTAGATTAAGTCAGAATAACTCTGCAGCTCCTAGCAGGGCTATGTTAATTGGCACCAGATGTGGAAAGAAAAACAAGCTTATCATGCTCAAGAGGTATGCAACATCTAAGTTGGCATGAAATGTCAATTTTGGAACTAAAAAGATGCAACTTGTGATGTGATACAAGTGGAAGATGAGCCCTTCTGGATCACACAAAAGGTCTGTCTAGTCAAGCATCTTGTATTTCATAGTGGCCAACCGGAGGTTTCTGGAAAGCCAACAACCAGGAGAAGCAGGCAACAGCCCTCCCTTGCTGTTGCTCACTGTTCAGAAGCAGACTGCTGTATTAGCTAACTAAAGCTCTAGTATCATGAGGGAGCAAAACTTCTGTCTACTTTATCCACATACCCTTATCATTCTGAAGTTGATGGGTGACTTGATGTGCATTTCCCAGTACAAAAGAACTCTTTTCATGATTAGGACCCTGCTCCTCATGCTTTCACCCTGCAATGGCAGGTGCTGCAAAGAGCAGAGCTGTTACACAGCAGAATACGTGGGAAGGATTTTGAACACAGCAAAGTTGTCTTGCCCCATTCTTAAGATACCGTATTTTTTGCCCTATAGGACGCACTTTTCCCCCTCCAAAAATGAAGGGGAAATGTGTGTGTGTCCTATGGGGCAAATGCAGGCTTCAGGAAGCTATCCGCAAGCCTTGGGAGCTCTGTGGGAGTTCCCGTCGGGCTCCCAAGGTTTGCGGATAGCAGCCTGCATCCCAAAGCCTGGGGCGCGCTGTACAGCGCGCCCCGGGCTTCGTACAGATATCAGCCAGCCCCACAAGTTCGGGGGACAGCGGGGAGGCGGAGTGCGCCTTTTGAATTATTAATCTGATATTTTTTATTGTATTGCATTAAAATGTTTGATTTTAAATGTATGCAAGTATGCAAAGCACATCAAAGTGCAAGTAGATAAATAGGCACCACTCCAGCGGGAAGGTAAACGGTGTTTCCGTGCGCTGCTCTGGTTCGCCAGAAGTGGCTTAGTCATGCTGGCCACATGACCCGGAAGCTGTATGCCAGCTCCGTCAGCCAATAAAGCGAGATGAGCGCTGCAACCCCAGAGTCGGTCACGACTGGACCTAATGGTCAGGGGTCCCTTTACCTAGGCTGAACCTGAATGCAGGATAAAATGTTTTGAATTCATTAAATCTCTACTGCTTTGAAATGCAATGCAAATATGGATATAGGTATCAGGATATTAAAATATAACAGCATTTATTTAGAATGAAGAGACTCTCCTCCTAATTTACAGCTGTGAATGGCCTATTAGCAATCTTCTAAGCATTTACTGTCTAACCTAACAAGCAGAGATAATGGCAATTTCATCCTTATGATCTTATGCCCTGTATAGTATAGCACATACAGAAAGAATACACCTTCATGTCAATCTAACTGGAAAGCAATGCCAATTTTATTTTGCCTTCAGCTGGTAGAACCCCCTGTTCAGCTGTCACCCCAGTGAACACCATTCAATAAACATTTCAATATGACAGATTTCCTCCCAGACTGACACATAACAAATCAACGAGCTAATGGATGGCGAAAGGCTCCCTGCACAGATGGCACAGTTCTGCAAAACAAAATGCTGGTCCTTAAAAACCAAAGCCTTGCAAATTCAAATCACCTGGAGAGAATAAACACAAAATTAAAATGTCATCTCCATGGTATTATTCCCCTCCCATTTTTTAAAAAACCTCAACAACAAAAACAATATATTTGGATCAGGGGCGTGAGAGCATAGTCCAGACTGAGAGAACAGAGTCTGCTTAAATCAAGACACATTTGCTCAATAGCAGGAGCATCCAAAATTGACCACCTGGTTCAAGGAAGAATGTAACTGCAGGCAATCATCTAAAGCAGTCCTCACTTCCACTGATAGCCTACAAGAATGCCTCCAATAGCCAGTGACAGCTCTTCTCTGTGGGCAAGCAGAGCTCTATTCCAGCACACAACTGAGAAGCAAAGCTAACATAAGATTCAAACTATCTGCAGCAGCTCAGTCATTGTTGCCTCCTCCTAGACCTAGAGGTCTTTAAAGCAGAAGAATTCTCCCTTCTCATGTACTCACGTATTTGAAATAGTAACGCCATTGCAGTTAATCAGAGGGGATGGGTTGGGATGCAAACTTGACCAACGTACCGTATTTTTCGCTCTATAAGACACACCTTTTTCTTCCTAAAAAGAAAGGGGAAATGTCTATGTGTCTTATGGGGCGAATTCATGGTTCCTGGAGCCGAATTGCCCAGGGGCAAAAAGCAGATCATGCTTTTTTTTTTTTTTTTGAAAGAGGGAAGTGGGTGTTGAAACAAAGCCGTTGATCGTTTGCTGATCGGGGAGAGAGATAAGGGACATTAGACATAAAGGAGGCTGCCTGGGAGGGGGGAGGTAAAGACCGCAAACTTGCAAAGGGGGGAAACAGGAAGACTAAAGCAATAAGGAGAGAAATTAGAAGAAAAGGAGGAGCAAAAAACTGCTCCAGCTAAGGAAAAGACACTAAGGCAAACAAGAGGGAAGGGAGTATTGACAGGAAACAGCTGATCTGTGGGATCGGAAGAGAGATAAGGGAGGGTAGCAGAGGCTGCCTGAGAGGAGGGAAGTAAAAGCCTATGGATCCTCAGGATTTTTACATTGGGTCACCCCAAATTCACCATCAGATCACATAGCATGTCCATGACTACAGCCTGCACCAAAAAAATCACACACCCACTGTTGCGTGGGGCCGCAATGGTGCAAAAACATGGTTACAAAGCACGGATCCACATGGATCCTCACGATTTTTGCATTGGGTCACCCCAAATTCACCATCAGATCACATGTCTGTGGCCACAGCATGAACCACAAAAATCATACATCCACTGTTTCATTCAGAATATTATATTTCTTGTTTTCCTCCTCTAAAAACTAGGTGTGTCTTATGGTCAGGTGCATCTTATGGAGCGCAAAATATGGCACAATGTTTTGTCACAGTTCTGTGGCTTCCAAAAATAAAATAAAAAATGCTGAGCTTGGAAAACCTACCTAGCTTTCTGATCTTTCAAAGATTAGCTTGGTTTACTGACACCGCATCAAAACTCTTATCACATGCTGCTTTATATTCCATGGCCACAAACAGGACATGTAGTAAGAGTAGATTGGAAGAAAAAGACTATGGAAAGTCTATACTGATTTGGGAAAGCGATGGGGCTAGGTTGAAGAAAGAAAGGTTATTTCAGCGTCAAGGAGATAGAAGGAAGGAAAAGTCATCTGCTCTAACCACCTGCCTTAAAAGTTAAGAGATAGCCACATGGCTGTCTCCCAAGGGAACCTATACAATCCAGAGCACTGTGTGCTATGAGCAGAATGTAATTGCAAATAGTTCCAGATAATTGAAGCAAAAGAGCAAGATACAAAAAAGATGCAAAGACTTAAAGTTTAAATAAATAAGCAGGCTGGAGGAAAAGCTCAAATTACAATGCAGAACTAGCCTCAGAATTATTATCTGCCAAAAGTCTCTTACTGCTTACTTTTGTAGAAGATACTGGGAGACTGAAGAATCTAGTCTAAAACAGATTGCAGTGTGTGGGGGAGTTCATTTGACTGGAAGAAACTCAGCCCAGATTATGAAGAGCAGAGTTGAATGCAAGGGGGCAGAGGGGACCTGACTCCTTTTATTTAGACACAGTGATAGTGTCGCATTCAAAGAGTAACATGTGGCTGATGAGCAATGGGACTTCTCACTAATATAGTGAGCAGCTCATTATCAAAACCATCTTTTTCCTTCTTCAGAGGTCCCATTTCCAAAATGAAGTAAAATAATGGCTGGATTTCAATGTAGGTAGTCTTGACAATTTTCTTTTTAGAAGACACCTTGAGAAAATGACATCTCTCAGCAGAAGAGCCCACTGATAATTAAATAACAAGCTCTCTTTCAAATTGCTTAATGAAATACTTACCTGAAGGTAGCTCGCCAGAAGATTATTAGCAGTTTTGTATGCTAATTTAAAGATGGAACCTTTTCCACAATGCAGTTTTAATGAAGGCAGTGCTTTATAAAAATGTAAGTGCCTTCCCACCTTGTCACCACACTTAGCTAATGTCATTGACAACCCCAGAGCCAGAGAGATACATGACCTGTACTTGCATTAATTGCAGTGAAATCGTCTAAACTCTCAAATGATTAATCATAGAGGCCTGGTAGACAAGCTTGAAACTGTATGATACGACAGTAACTCAGTGCAGTTCCAGGAGGTTCAGGTTAACACACCATCTTCATCATCTGTATCCAGGGGCTTTGACTTCAGTGTGAAGATTTTTCGCAGTTTACAGTTTGCTGAAACAATAATGCCATCCAAGGACTGGAAAACGGCTCCTTTGAATATCTCGCTGGTGAATGCTACCAAGTCAATGCACAGGTTGCACCACTAAGAAAAGAGTGAAAACAGATTTAATGACACTTTTACATAAGATGCAGGTCTTGTAAAAGAAATCAGCACTGAAATTTACCACTGAACATAATTACTGTACAGCCCAACTCTCCTGTAGCTGCTCCATGGAATATATCATCATCATCATCCTCATTAATCTTTATTATGGTCCAGAGACCCAACAAATCATTACAAAGCAATACACAATTCAGACAGTCTACCACCAGGTTAAACAAGCATTTTGTTCAGACTTAAAGATAGGGATCATTGGTTCTTGCAACCACCGATAAAAACTTTGCCACTGCTAATGTTCTAGCGGTTGTCCGGTCTTCCAGTAGGAACCTGACATAGTGAGCCTCTGATTTTCCTGGGAAAAGGTACCAGCAAGGGTAATATCAGTTCAGCCCTGGCTTGCTCGTATTTCGCACAGTGCAGCAAAATATGTTTTAAAGAATCGATGTCTTGGGCACACGAGCAAAGTCTGTCCTGGTAGGGAACTCCTCTCAACCTGCCATCGAATACTGCAGAAGGGAAAATGTTTAACCTGGCTTTGGTGAATAACCTTCGGTAATTTGGTACTGTCAGGTTTTTAATGTAAGTTTTTAACTTAAAGACATGCTCATATTGTACTCCTACTGCCAACAGACTACAGACTGTGTGTGATCGGGATCGCAAGTCACTGTGTATATTATCCCACAATCTTTGCTTTAACGTCTTTAGGGCGCCTTCATAACCCAGGTAATAGAGTCCATGGAAAATATGTTTTCTCCATATCAAGGAATGTTGCAGCCATGCAAGTGGTCTATAATTGCCTCCACTCTGAACTTTTAGCATGCATCTTGTACTTGAAATCAGTGATACTTGCTTTTAAATTAAGTGTGCTTTCAAATTAAGTGTGTACAGTCTGAGTTGCCTGTGCATATTAATGGCTGGTGGTAAACTAGTAAAGAGCAATCAATATAAATGGTTATGACTATCAAGGATCCCTGCCAAATTGCAATCCACTTCTCTCCCGCTGCTTGCTTTCTCCTTCTCTATATTTGTCTCAACACACACACACCTTGATACCACTGGTTGATTTTCTCTGATGTAACCATAGGCCCATGTAAGAAAGAAATCATATCCCCTGTGACTGCCACTGGTTTGATGATCTTAAGTCACAGAGGAGCCAGGTGGCCTTTACCCAGGTAGCTCAGCATTTAGGACACCATTGATGTGTGACATTAAATTCAGAAATCCATGGCACTAGATAATGAACTTCCAAATTGCAACTTCCAAATCTTGTGTGGGTATATCGTTCTGCAGTGTCAGGAATGAAAGAGACACATGAACACTAGCTTCTTATAAAGGATGGTTCTATTGTCTGTGAAATGTTGTTATATTTGAGTGTCTTATGTTTATCCCTAAAGGAAAGCTTGCCTTCTCCTATTGGGAACAAGCAGGTTTGTAACCTGTGGCATGATGAGAGATGTGTATGTGTTCTGCAGTTCCACACACACAAAAACAGAACAGAATTTGATTTCGGATTTCAGCATTCTATCAGCATTTATATTTTTTAAAAAGCATTTCTAACCCTTCTGGCAACAAACTTTGGCTTCAAGGTATATGGGGAACATCTAGTGAAGCTTCCTGAGCAACAGGATTTCCAGTTGTTCAGGGTCTTTCATAACTTCTTGTCTCATTCAACAACTAGCAGAAGAAATTACCCAGAATAGCATGTGGCTTAAATTTACCTAATATATACAGGTAGCACATCAGGCTAGATCTTGCTTTATTTCTCTTTAGTACAGAGTTCTCACAGCCTAGACACAGTCTCAAAATACAATCCCAGGTACAGAACAAGCCAGCAGGGCACCCCTCAGTATTCAATCTTCAGGGTTGATGATGTCTCTGGAGTACAATCAAGACAGCCCTGAAGGAGGCTAATCAGGGCTAGAGCAATAAATGAGACAGAAATCTTAGTGGAACTAAGGAACAAGCCCCAGATAAAAGCAACTTATAAACATGTAGCAAAATTTTAGAAGTTTGTTTCAAGTCTTTTACTTTGGGTCAGAAATAGCCAATTGATGTTTTGCATCCCCTAAAGAGAAAAGATTCAAGCTTTTTTTGATCCCCAGCTTTACAATCCGCCTCCCAGGTCAGTTCAAGAGCTTCATCACTAACTAATGCTATCCGGTAAAGCTGAAATTCTGCACTGAACATGTGCACATGTAGACTGACCTAGCATTCATGAAGGAACACAGAAGCCACCTTTCATATTCACTGTGATGGAGGATGCAGCAGCATCACACCTGTTGCACTGAATATAGCACAGTGGCAACCTGCACTTATCTTACAAAAACCCATGCTTCTTCCACACTTTTTAAGTGCTGGAAGCCAATCATTGGACTGACTAGGGCAGGGAACAGAAGTCCTGCCCTTCGGAATTGCCTGTGTGAATCTTTTGTGACATCTTGATTATACTGGTTGGTATGGCAAGCAAGTAAGCAGATAAAACAGTTGTATGAAGGACAACTTAACCTGCTCCATTCAAAGTCACTGGGCAAAGAAACTTCTCTATCCCATGCAACTCATGGGATTGCACACCACAGTTATTATTTTGTGCCGCAGGAGAGCTAAATGCAGAAGTCAACGCTTCCCATGCCTAGTCTGCGTGTCCTACCCTAAGAAACAGAACATTCTTAAGAGATTCCTTCCTTTTCTACATTGCACTGGGATCCGTAAGACCAAAATTGAGATTATGTTTTTAAGAGCAGCCATATGCCAAATGTCAATCAAAGGACAGTATTAGTAGTAGTGACCAACAACTGTCAGAGTATATCCCCCCCCCCCATTAGTTCACATCGGGCAGTTTGCTGATAAGGATATGTTAATTGGTTTCAGTCCTGCAGTTGTGTAGAAATATGCCTTCTGTGCAAGGATATGGTGTTTGTAAAGAGCAGGATTAGCACCATGGATGTTAACTGGGGTTATAAATATACATAAATCTGGAAATGGAAGGCAATAATACTTTAACATTGTGAAGCTCACCTCTATAGCAGTAATGTGTTTACTATGTGTAATTTGAAGCCATTTGGTATGTTTCTTTTGTGGAAGTCAAATGGAGCATAGCTAATATTGTCAGGTCTTCCTGTACAGATTTTCCTACAGAGTTATTTAAGAAATGGTGTGTGTTCTTCATTTCTTAAATAACTATAGAGAAAACTCTCTCCAGGAGCACCTGACAATATTAGGCACGTTCCATTTGACTTCCACAAAAGAGGTATACTGAATGGCATCAAATTACGTAAGACAAACACTCTGTCACAACCAGAGGACAAACACACTAAAACACTGTATACTGAAACAAGAAATATCAATATTCATTTTTAGTATGTACTAATGGAAATGTGCAGCTCTAGCTGTGTAGGAAATTTGTCTTTGCTAAGCCCTAATAAAATAAATATTTAGATGAAAACAAAGTATTTGGGTGAAAACTAAAAAGTAACGGGAAAGCTTTAATCGGTGTCTTAATCATTAATTTCAGTGCAAAATGTCAATCCTTAATGGGCTTGCCACCACTGAGGAACATTGATGACATTGTTCTAACTAATCTGTGTGCATTATTTGATGCAGGGACAACACTTAAGATTACCAATGAAGAAATTACTTGTTTTGCTTGTGTGAGAGAATTTTTCCTCAAAATCCCTTCAAAAATACCGTATGTACTATACTAAGAAACTGGCATATGCTAGAGTGAAAACTGGCATATGCTAGAGTGAAAGCAGAGTGAATGGAGGATTATCTGTTTCCTCTTCTGTACAATCAGAATGCACTCTCAACATGACTAGGAGAATTGGGGGAGGCGATCGGGGGGGGGCATGCGGGGGACTGGAGGATGCTCTCAGTTCTGATTGCAACAAGGGAAGGATAGCTGAAGAGAGATGTCTCCCTGCCCCATAATGCATCCCCAGCACGTGTTACCCTCCCCTTGTGTCTGCAATTTAATTTGTAACACTTAGACATTTACCGTATTTTTCGCACCATAGGACGCACTTTTTCCCTCCTAAAAAGCAAGGGAAAATGTGTGTGCGTCCTATGGAGCGAATGCAGGCTTTCGCTGAAGCCTGGAGAGTGAGAGGGGTCGGTGCGCACCGACCCCTCTCGCTCTCCAGGCTTCAGGAAGCTATCCGCTAGCCGTGGGAGACCCAGCTCTCCCATGGCTAGCGGAGCGCTGCATTAATCCCGAAGCTTGGGGCGCGCTGAGCTCCGCACGCCCCAAGCTTTGGGATTAGCGCTCCGCTAGCCGTGTCTAGGCTGCGGATAGCAGCCTGCTTCCCGGAGTGTCGGGCACCCTGAAAGCAGAGCGCCCGGCGCTTCGGGAACACATCCGCAGCGTGGGGACCCTTGCAGGAGTTCCCCGCAAGGCTCCCCACGCTGCGGATAGCAGCCTGCCGCCCAGCGCGAGGGGCGCCCTGAAGCAGAGCGCCCCTCGCGCCGGGCAGACATCCGCAGCGTGCGGAGCCCTGCAGCAGTTCCCCACAGGGCTCCTAAAAAGCAAGGGAAAATGTGTGTGCGTCCTATGGAGCGAATGCAGGCTTTCGCTGAAGCCTGGAGAGTGAGAGGGGTCGGTGCGCACCGACCCCTCTCGCTCTCCAGGCTTCAGGAAGCTATCCGCTAGCCGTGGGAGACCCAGCTCTCCCATGGCTAGCGGAGCGCTGCATTAATCCCGAAGCTTGGGGCGCGCTGAGCTCCGCACGCCCCAAGCTTTGGGATTAGCGCTCCGCTAGCCGTGTCTAGGCTGCGGATAGCAGCCTGCTTCCCGGAGTGTCGGGCACCCTGAAAGCAGAGCGCCCGGCGCTTCGGGAACACATCCGCAGCGTGGGGACCCTTGCAGGAGTTCCCCGCAAGGCTCCCCACGCTGCGGATAGCAGCCTGCCGCCCAGCGCGAGGGGCGCCCTGAAGCAGAGCGCCCCTCGCGCCGGGCAGACATCCGCAGCGTGCGGAGCCCTGCAGCAGTTCCCCACAGGGCTCCCCACGCTGCGGATAGCAGCCTGCTTCCCGGAGCGTCGGGCGCCCTGAAAGCAGAGCGCCCGGCGCTTCGGGAACTCATCCGCAGCGTGGAGAGCCTTGCAGGAGTTCCCCGCAAGGCTCCCCACGCTGCGGATAGCAGCCTGCTTCCCGGAGCGTCGGGCGCCCTGAAAGCAGAGCGCCCGGCGCTTCGGAACGTATCCGCAGCGTGGAGAGCCTTGCAGGAGTTCCCCGCAAGGTTCCCCACGCTGCGGGTAGCAGCCTGCCGCCCGGCGCGAGGGGCGCCCTGAAGCAGAGCGCCCCTCGCGCCAGGCATACATCCGCAGCGTGGGGAGCCCTGCAGCAGTTCCCCGCAAGGCTCCCCAAGCTGCGGATAGCAGCCTGCCGCCCGGCGGGTGGGGCGCCCTGAAGCAGAGCGCCCCTCGCGCCAGGCATACATCCGCAGCGTGGGGAGCCCTGCAGCAGTTCCCCGCAAGGCTCCCCAAGCTGCGGATAGCAGCCTGCCGCCCGGCGGGTGGGGCGCCCTGAAGCAGAGCGCCCCGCACGCTAGGCAGACATCAGCCAGCCCCACAAGCTCGGGGGACAGCAGGGAGGCACAGCGCCACTATCCCGCTGTTCCTCGACCTGGTTCGGTTTCCCTGACCTGCTTTTGGGGGGGAAATAAAGGGGAAATTTTTTTCCTTTATTTTCCCCCCATAAAACTAGGTGCGTCCTATGGTCCGGTGCGTCCAATCGTGCGAAAAATACAGTAGTTGCATGCTATGTATCCAGAAAATTTCTAGTTTGATCTTGGTATCTACTAGATTCATGTATTCATATGACTACAGAGCTGCTCTGTTTCAAAATCTAGAGTCAGACATCACAAGGAAGGTTATATCTACCTTCTCAACAAACAAAAACCATCCAACCATATAAAAGTCCAATTGCTAGATCTCCATCAAATAATTTGTTCTTTGAGTGGAATCTTACAACTAAAGTTCACATTTTGACTGAATTTTATTTGCTCCAGATTAAGGAATACTTAAGTCTTGAAACACTGGTGTTAATCTGACACAGTCACCACAAAAATGAAGATGCAGGAAAATAATTCATTGTAAGGATGTGGGAAAACTCAGTACAGCGTGAGACTTAATCTCACGGTCATGGGTTCAAGCCCCACGTTGGGGAAAAGATTCCTGCACTGCAGGGGGTTGGACTAGATGACCCTCCTGGTCCCGTCCAACTCTACAATTGATCCATGATCTTGAATTAACCACTGCCTCAGTGGTATGACTGTCTGGTACATATTAATTTTTAAGGTCATGCTTGAAAAAAGGAGAAAACTAAAATGAAGTTATTAGTATAATATAAATGCCTTCCAAAAAGTTGTAGAAAAATGACTTTTGCAAGTAAGTAAGTATTTTGCAAACAGTCTCTGTCTCATTCTCTCTCTCTCTCAGTTCAATGTATTTGGTAGTTACTTGTAAAGGACGTATGCCTACAAATACCTATTTAAATAAAAATGCTAAGACTGTTTTCATCCTTGGCAGGATCTTGCTTTAATATGAAAACCAATGCCTTCAAATTAGCTGTAGTTTGCAAGAAGATATTGCACATGATTAGCGGCCTGAAGGATGGAAGTTGCATTTTGCAGTGCAGTGCAGATGGGAAGCCATATCCTCGCCCAAAATATGCAATTAGATAGCAATACATATCAGACAGACATCTGCTTGTTAAGGAAAATTCATAGTTACACCTGAAACTTCTGGCAAATTTAATTTTCAGAATCCATACATTCTGCACACAATTGGGTGAACAAAGTGGTTACCAACCTACAGATGGAAGGCATATTTTCCAGCATGTTTTAATTCTCATATCTAAGACTTATTCTTAGCACTAGCTTGGAGCAAGCAGCACTGGTGCTATAGACCAGTGTTCCCCAACCTTGGGCCTCCAGCTGTTTTTGGACTACAACTCCCATCATCCCTCGCTAGCAAGACCAGTGGTCAAGGATGATGGGAATTGTAGTCCAAAAACAGCTGGAGGCCCAAGGTTGGGGAACACTGCTATAGACCATATCACATAGATTCATTGAAATGGGATCGCTATTGCATTTCTAATGACTCCTGGTGTTGCATGAAGGGCAGTGGTGACAGAAAATGGTATCAAGAGCCCCTGGAAAAAATTTGTGCTCTGCTCACTCACTCCAAGTTCTGCCTATGTTTGGATAGGGCTTGGAACCCTCAAATAACAGTCTGAATGTGGTAAGTAGGATCTATGGTAGAGTTCACTAGCACACCTGTTTGACCTTCATGTTACAGAAACTCCTAATACTTTTCCAATTTGAAGTTCTTTCTGCACATGCACATGTACCCGCTTATACAATTAATTTAAATCACTGCTTTGGACTGAACCAGAAAGTCAACTTGTTGTCTTCTGCAGACATAAGTACTGTTATCCAGGACCATGATGATCAACTTTAACAGTTCTTACAGATACTTAGAAGTACTGCAATGCAAAGGAAAAGGGAATTATAAATTGGAAGGAAATATACCTACAATTTTGCGCTTGATCATAAAAAGAGGAATTTTTGCATGTAGGGGGGTTACGGACAACTCCTTGTGGATTGTTGATAAATACAACCTTCTTTTAATATTTCCTAAATCAGTTATCCTGTAAAAGAGAAAAGGCGAGAGGGGGAAGGAAAAGAGATCTCCATCAATACAATAACCACTATCTCTGGGCAACCACAGAAAACCATCATTCATATGCAGAACCTTTAAATCAAGGACAGCAAATAGGGAGTTTAAGTATTACCCCTTTTACAAGATAAGTAATGAGATTTCTCTCTCAAATTCAAAGTTAGTGGCTACAAGCCTGAATATATAAAATCACTTTACATGCTAATTTTATTTCAATGCTCTTCACTCTTCACTAGATTTCCACAGCACTTCAACCTATGAAAGAATTCAATTTGTATGAACTGAGAAGCCACTAGCCTTTAATAATCATGCTTTTTCAGTCCCTTAAGCTTGTGTTATCTTGGGACATGCTGTCACCCCACTAAATAGGAAATCATTATAGGCTCTCTTTTTCTAAAAACCCACCTGCCATTTCATATGCGCTCTTTGTATGCTTAAAGATAGACACAAAACATTGTATGTCGGTTTTACTTCCCAAGCACATATCTCCAAACCTGAATTAACAACACACAAGTTTATTGCTAACTATTCAGGCTGCTCCTCCAGTGACAGCCAGAACATCATTAATAGATTTAGACTGCAATCACGATCAGCTTGGCTCAGATTGATAAAGAGGCTCCTATGTACGTTCTGCTTCCTTGTGGTTTCCATGAATGTTCAAGCTGGCTTAATTTCACCCTAGAATTTACCCCAATAGAAAATGGCTCACTACAAACGTTTTTAGATTGGAAATCGAAGCAACCATACTTTTAATTCCTACCACCTGCTTTCTTCTCCTTAAAGAGAAAATGTTTTTACCAACAACTTCACACTCGTTCTCAAAACAATGATGTTTTCTTCCATTTTTCCTAGGTACAAAAGCTAGCTTTTGGAACTTAAGAACATAAACAATTTTTAAATTCAGTACTTGAGGTAATGCAAGAATTACAGGCCACAATACATCTAGAAACCATAAAACTGTACTTTCATGCATATTAAAATCAGATGTTAGCAACATAGAGCTACAAATGGTTACAACTCCTCTCACAAGCACTGACATCTGCATTGCTCAGCTTTGGCAAAGCAAGAAAACTCCAACTATGACTAAAAGGCTAAAGAAAATACGGGAAGTTTCCTTAATGATCAAAACAACCTACTAGAGAAAAGTATGAAGTAATTAGAAAAATAATCAATTTATCGAGAGATGGGTTCTATTGATCAGCTATTTGAATGAAAAAAAATTATTGACAACATCCCTTAATATAACCTGTTCCATCCTATGTAACCTTATCTTTTCTCTAAATCAACATTTATAAAGCAGCACTTGTAATATCTAGTATATCAATGAAAAAGCAAAGGAAAAAATGTGATGAAACTCAGCCATCTTTGTACAGAATAGAGAAGGTTGATTCAGAGCTTTAAAAAAATATGCAGTCAACCTAGGTAAACCTTTAACAGATTTAACAACTCACCAGGCCTTATAAACAAGTTAACATATGGAGCAATCCATTCTCTCCTGTGATGGGAATAGGAAGCCATCACAAATAAGAACTCTATGTTGGCACAGAAACCCCCCATATGTTTACATATATATTTTTTAAAAAACAAACCAGGCTGAATAACTGCATAATGCAAAAAACCAAGATTCCAGTTTCACTACAGGTATGGAAGCAACTGTCCAAGCGGTTTATTAACGTAATGGTAGCTGATCTTTCTAATACACTTTCAGAAGTAGGCTTATACATTGCTTAAATTAATTTTGGTCTACTGAGGGATCATTCAGTCTGAAAAGTGGAATGCAAATTAAGTAAAATCTTTAAAATATATATATACAATTTTCTTTAGAATTAGTAAACTCAATCCCACCACCACTAAGTATGAAAGCCAGGAGTGATACTTCAGTGTTCAGAGACAGCAAACCTCTGTCAGATGGTGGGAATTAAATACAAGGGATGAGTATTATCACAATGAACAACTTTCTTATAGTTTCTAGCTGGCCAATGCCAGAAACCAATGTAGTTGGCTAGATTGTTCATTAACCCATCTGGTTAAACGAGACTTCTAAATTTGGAATATGCCACAAGAGACTACCAAATCAAGGTGTTAGTCACATTGTTTCCCCTAAAGAATGATGTGTTTTAATTATACCACCCAAATAGCAGTGGAGGTTTCACAACACAGACATTTAATATTTTGGGTCCTTTAAATACACCAACTCTTCTATATATGTTTCCTTTCTCTTCCCATTATAAGTCATGCTGGGGATTGGCACTTCTTAGATGCTCAGCTGACAAACAATATATGAAGAAAGAAGAGAGAGAATGTGAAAACAAATCTCTACAACACCTTAATACATCATCAACAACAACAGCAACAACATACAACCCAAGTATTATAGCCCTGGCAGGATAAAACCACAATTCTAGCTGGTCAGCGTGGTTTTGTTGAAGAAGCACACTTCATTGAGGTTTAAGGAACCCTCCTCAAAATGAACACATTTTAAAACCTGCAGAATACTTAAGACTGTCATCTGCAAATATATGAACCCAAGAGCTATGATTGGTGTTTGCCAGGAAAGTCAACCTTTAATTCTGCTGTGAAAAAAGCAGGAGCTCCTATGCAAAACTTTTGAAAAACAAAAGCAAAACTACACAGCTCTCATCACATCAGAAAGCATTTGTAAAGCTCTACAGGAGTTAATGTGTTTTTATTATGTTTATGCTTGAGTCTTCCTATCTGAGGGGTCAGACATGGGACAGGAAAATAATGAGACCACGTTGAGAAAGAATGAGGTAGTCAACAGAAAAAATCAACCTCATTTATAATAATATCCCTCTGATCAGCAGGTGCATAACTCTTCCAGCTATGGTCATTAGCTGCATTCATTTCACACTTAACGTCTACATTTGCAAAACATTTTAAAGCAAAATTACTTTTCAGTTCAATTTTCAATTCAATTTTCAATTCTATCTCATAGCTTCAACTCTGATTGACTATTTTCCTCTTGATAGCAAATGCAGCAAAAACAAGAGTTAAAATGGTAGCAACTACCCAAGAGTGCAGATATACTCACTGACTCAGATTACCTATTCATTTTGCTGTTGCATATATGACAATTTATGGCAGTTTGTTAATGTTCACTTCAAAGCTTAAAATGAATAAAACAAGCAGCAGCATGGATTATTAGTTCATTGGGCTTCCTGTTTCTTACAAACTGTTTCTCTTTATTATAAACTATTCAGTGTGTACATGGCCTTATAGCGAAAGATGATCACCTTTCATGAATATTGCTGAACGCTTATGGAAGAAATCTAAAACCTGTTGAAGCACTTAAAAAAAAAATCTGGCAAACAGAGCCAGGGGATAAAAGTCAACAAAAGACAGAAAAAATGAAATGACCGCATACAAACAGAGGTGCTGGAAGTTGAACCACAGACCATTTTATTTATTTCATTTAGAAGAATTTAAAAATTGCTCATTCAAAGATTCTCCAAGAGCTGTACATAAAACAATTATCAATATACAAATCAAACCAGCAAAATTTAAAAATAGGTTTGAGGTCAAGGCTCATGGGGAAATACCAAGGGTATTCAGTCAGAGTTCAGGGCATCAGGGCAGAGCTCCCAGGACCCTCCTATGGTAGTTAATGAGCTGCTGTCTCTGCCTCCAAATGAAGTCTTGTATATGTTGTCAGTACTACAGGGACGCGGGTGGCGCTGTGGTCTAAACCACTGAGCCTAGGGCTTGCCGATCAGAAGGTCGGCAGCTTGAATCCCCGTGACGGGGTGAGCTCCTGTTGCTCAGTCCCAGCTCCTGCCAACCTAGCAGTTCAAAAGCACCCCAAAAAGTGCAAGTAGATAAATAGGTACCGCTCCAGCGGGAAGGTAAACGGTGTTTCCATGCGCTGCTCTGGTTTCGCCAGAAACAGCTTAGTCATGCTGACCACATGACCCAGAAAAACTGTCTGCGGACAAACATCGGCTCCCTCGGCCAGTAAAGCGAGATGAGCACCGCAACCCCAGAATTGTCTGCGACTGGACTTAACTGTCAGGGGTCCTTTACCTTTACCTTGTAATACAGTGCAATAAATCTCACCTGCTCAGAGGAGCTGGCTGGCTTTCAAACCCTCACTTTATTCTAGTGTCTTTGACTCCTATGGGGCTGGGGAGACAGGTACCCCGGAAGTCCCCTCCTCTGACAAAGGTATCATGGAAGAAAGGCTGTGTCTCCCCGGTCAGAAGCAAGCTGAAATGGTCCTAACAGTTTTCCACTAAAGGATATAGTTGTAGAATCACCATCCCCATAGTAAACAGAGTATACAGTACATGGTCTCTGGGTCATAACAAAGACCTGCTTACACCACTGAATTTTCCTTTCTCCGTGAATTCCTCAAACTGTATTCCTCAAAATGTAATTCTCACTGAATCCTCAAACTCTTTTTAATCTCTATACTTGCTAGTACGTGAAAGAAACGCTTCACTGGTTTACCATCTTCATCTTGTTTGCCCACATAACATCCCTTTGAAACTTCTGTTTTACAACACAGAAATTGCAAACTACTGTGAAAAATCCAATCACAAAGTACAACTAGTATACCTGCAGTTAAGTGTGTTGTTACAGAATGTTAAGGCTGCAATACAAGTAGTGGCTTTAATATTCATACAGAACTACACATGCTCAAGGGCTGCCCTGTTCAATTTCATGAGTCAGGGCGTGTTTCATGCACTAAAGCATGGAATTCATATACATCTATAAAGCACTTACAGAGACAAACAAACCTATCCCCAAACTCTTGTACACACAGTCATGTACATCTGGTGGAAGCATCAAGGGATTTTGGAAAACACCGCTGCTGTTTAAGATGCAGTAGACATAAGACACTTGGGGTGGAGGGACACAGACTACTGAGTCTTATAAAACTTTGATTTCAAAACTTTAATTTAGGTCATTCCAATGTCTATTTCTTTGGGTTTAAACTATTTACTAAATTCA